CGGATCCGGTCCGGCATGATCGTACGGATCCGGAAAACATAACGCGATCCTGATATGGAAAAATTAGAGTGGTGTGCATTAGTTTTTAGTTAAGACCTAAAGTTTGACCTTACCGTATACGGTACGAAATACCAAAAAATACCGATTAGCTCTTAAATTTTATCGGTCGGCATTCCTTACCGTACTACCGACACGGAATACCGAAAAATACCGTCGGTATTACTGTACTGTCCGGATTCTAGTTTTGGCGCCATTTTTAAAAAAATTCGACATTTTGACCCATTTTGGCCGTGTCGACATTTTTACCATTCCATATTTTAACGATTCCATATTTTAACCCTTTTTTAGCCTATCGATATTTTAACCATTCCATATTTTAACGATTCCACATTTTAACCCCTTTTTAGCCTATTCGCGATTTTAACCCATTTTTACCCGATTCGAGATTTTAACCCTTTTTTAGCCTATTCCATATTTTAACGATTCGATATTTTGTCCGGACACGGTCTAAACAATGGCCGCTGAAAAAATCAATAAATGTAAAAAGAGTGCGGGAAATAAAGAGACATTAACGTGCCCGCTTAACTCATCGAATCCTTAACTCATCGAATCGACCAAAAACGCTCAACTCATCGAATCGGCTAAAATTCCTTAACTCATCGAATCGGCCAAAAACACTCAACTCATCGAATCCTTAACTCATCGAATCCTCAACTCATCGAATCGGCCAAAAACGATCAACTCATCGAATTTTTCCAAAAGGGGACGTTTGAGTCCCCTGTTTTTATTTTTCTCCCGAAAGGGCCAACTGAATCTTCGTTGAAAAAATTTTTTGCTGCTATGGAGGCTAGGAAAAAGGGCTTTTGGGCATAATCGGGGTCTACTGGACTAATTTGGTCCGGTTTTACCCGGTAAAATCTCCATCATAATTTACCAGGAATGTGAGAAAACATTCTCATTATCTGATAATGTTTTCACTGGCCGCATAGACGTGGATGAGTGCCCGATCAACTAATTAACAAAATTAGTTGAAACCCCAAAAGAAAACAAAAAAAAATAAACAAAACAATAAAAAATCTAAAAAATAAACACGGGGACTCAAACGTCCCCTTTTGGAAAAATTCGATGAGTTGATCGTTTTTGGCCGATTCGATGAGTTGAGGATTCGATGAGTTAAGGATTCGATGAGTTGGGTGTTTTTGGCTGATTCGATGAGTTGAGGATTCGATGAGTTAAGGATTCGATGAGTTGTAGGGTAGCCGACATTAAACTAGAGCTAGGAACGGGTCCGGGACCCGGACCCGTTTCCCGGTTTCCGGGTCCCTTTTCCCGGTTTTTTTGAAGCAACCGGGTTGAAACCGGGAACGGGTTTTCCCGGTTTCCCGGACCCGGTTCCCGCCCGGTCCATTTTTCAAAACCCGTTACCCGGACCCGGTCCCGGATTTTTTTTCACCGGAAAACCGGGAAAAATATTTAGTGTATTTGCGTACTTTGATATTAAATTTTTGAAGGAAAAGGGAAAGGAATATTTATAATTTCTCCATTTTGCTTTTGTCGGTCGATGGTTGAGTGGTTAAGTTGACTGACTTCACTCATCTAGTTATTTTGATAGGGATGGGGTTCGAGTCCATGTATGGAAATGGGGCTGAGAAAATTTTCTTTTCAAAAATAAATAATTTTAAACTTTGATTTTAAATTTGAAAATTTTTTTACTGTTTTAATCTTGAAAAAATCTTAGAAATTTCAATTAAATCATGAATTTTCCAAAATTTTCACTGTGGCGCAGAAAATTTAAGAGTTCTGGCTTCATTACCATCTAAACTTCGAAAAATTTTTTCGCCGGCAGCTCTGACAATTGAATTCTTTTCTGCTAAGGCCTATCAAAATTCTCAAAATTTTCGCCTACGGCGCAAAAAATGGCGCGAAGAATTTTTAGTTCAATAAGATTAAAAAGAATTAAAAGGGATATCTAAGGATTCTGAAGGAATTAAAAGGAACTAACATTCTGAAGGAACTAACACATAACAACCACTCGGCCAACATATAAGGGCTTTAGAAAGAATTTAAACATATGTAGTACATATTTCTTTGAATTTTTTCATTAATCCCAAGTACGAAAGAACAAAAGGCAGCAGTCGATGAACGTATTTTTCAGAAAAGGGAATTCGATCTTGAGTTAAATAATCGTGAATGGCATTCACTTACATTAATAGAGGTTATTTAGAATAAGTATAGGAGAATAGATGAAAAATACAGCCCTATGTGGAAAAATAGACCCCTATTTCAACAAATTAAAAATTTCCCGGTTTCCCGGCCGGGACCCGGTCATTTTTGACCGGGTTGAAACCGGGAACGGGTTTTCCCGGTTTCCCGGACCCGGTTCCCGCCCGGTCCATTTTTCAGAACCCGTTTCCCGGACCCGGTCCCGGTTTTTTCAAAATTCCTAGCTCTACATTAAACAGTTAAAGTTTGAGGTCAGTTCAGTGCGAAATATTCAGCTTAGTGCGACAGATCGACTGTATTGAAGATACGTACTAAGATTCTGTCTCTTAAATACGTGTATACATATTCTTTTTATTTTACAGATCTTTAAGTGATCTGATGAGAGAAGATAAAAGTGACCGCAATTCCAAAAGGAGTCGAGATCCTCAACTTTCTGAACGAGACAGAAAAACGGCTGTTCGACGCTCGTCCTCCAGAACTCGTGAATTACGTAGTAAGCAAACGTCGCGTCATGAGGATGAACGGTTTGATTTTATTTTTATGTTTATTTATGTTTAAACAATTTTTAGCAAACGGGCAATAAGTGGCAGAGGTGAAAAAGAAACTGGCCGCGATAGCACACGCAACAGACAAGATGGTAGACGGAAACGAAGCCCAAGTCCCAATATGGCATCTACTCGTGGTGGAAGAACGCGTGTTGATAACAATGGACGTTCTAAGGTTGTATGATTTTACTTTTGAGTTCACTTTGAAAATTAAAAATTCTAGCGTGACGCTCCTGAGGCTAAGAGGGAGCGAAAAGAAGCTGAAAAAGATCTGGTTCGAGGTACAGATTCGTCACAATTTGCTTTTGGTGGTAATGAAGTTCAGCAATATGATAGTGCAATAGCAAATGGAGGGTTTGGTAGTATTGACTTTCAATCGGGCTTTGCAAATTCGGGGTTTTCAAATACAAATTTCGCGGATTCAGGATTTCGTAAAAATGTTGGAATGGATGAATTTAACCGTGGTGGCAATCAATGTAAGCGTTTTTTACAGATTCATATATTGTTATTTTTTAGCCAAGCCCAGGATACTTGCTCCAAATAATGGTGGAAGAGAAGGCAATAAAGAAATTCCTGCAGATGCTCCCAAGTTTACTGTCAACGAACTTTCCGCAGAATCCATTAAACGAGGTTTTTATTTTTGAGGCTTCATCTAAAAATGAGTAGTTCCTACTAATTGTAAGGTTGTTCACGGTCGGTTAACCGAACCGAAAACCGGTATTTTTGCGAATTGGAAACCAAAACCAGGGGGTCTATGGCACTGAACAGCCTTATTTTCTGCCCTCCACTTAATTTCATTTAATATTTTAACAAGTTTATTTTTCAGAACATACGCAGAAAGGCGCAAATCAAAGAGTATGGACCTTATCTTTTTAAATCTTAATTCTCATCCATTGATTTCTATCTACAGCGATTTTTACCTAATCATGGAACTTTTGGAATGAAACGCCAATATGCTGGTATAAGAAGCGCAGCTACATTTACTGGGTCAGTTCATACACTCCCCTCATCTGAACAAACGAGCTGCTGAAATTTTTTACTATTTTTACGGCGTATTTTTTGCTACTTAATTAATTTGTAGTGCACCGAGAATGCAACAACAAAAACATGGTCGGATGTTTGGTAATTTTATTTTTTAGTTTAAAATTAAAAATAATATTAGATGGTTCCAATCCTACTGCTAGAACTATTCAGCCGAATGAAAAGTTGGAAAGAAGCAAATCTGAAACTGAACAGGCTCTTGTGCCTCGTGGAAGGAATTATTTCATTGTATGTTTAAATTAAAATTATTGAAGTATTTAATTTAATATTGTAGCATGATCATCGTGATACAGCGTTTGTCAATCAACGTAATCAAAACAACATTCGCTTTGGACAAGGTTTGACTTTTAACGGGACCGTCCAAAACATGCAATGCTGGGAGTTGGAGTCCCTTTCTTTTTTCATAGTACGTCCTTAAACATGGAGAAAGTAAATGCTGTCGAAAGGATCTCCAACTCTAAACTTGCATGTTTTGGACAGCCTTACTTGTTAAAATATTATTTTAATTTTTTAGGAAGAGGAAGACCAGCTCCAACTGGATGGCGTAATTTTGGTGACAGAGAAGGAAATGTTGACGAGGTTAGAATTTTTAAACATTCCATAAATACATTGATTATAAATTTAGGCTAGTTTTGCAATTCAAAGTTATGGGAGAGGTGGTGGGGGTGTCGGAGCGCCAGCTCGTGGAGGCTTTGCCAAAGGAGGTTTTGGCAATTGGCGTTCCAAGGCTGATGAAGATTTAATATGGAAACATGATAAATATGTAGAGGTATCACAAGACGAAGCCAACACAAAATTGGAATTGGTGGATGAAGTTGGTATTGAACCTCAAGAAGAAATCTTTAATAAGAAACGACCGCAAGAAGGTGAGAGCCGACATCGCTACCAAGATGAAAGTTTTGATTACGAAGTTGAAGAGCTTGCAGTTTATGATTAATTTGCGTACGTTGTTTAAGTGAGATATTTTAACATTATTTACATTGAAACTAAATTCCATTATATTTAAATTAACTTGATATTTTAGTAAATTTTCACACATTTCTAGCACTTCTTTTTCAATAATTTGGCAAATTTATTTAGGAAAATTTACGGGGACATTTATAGAAATAAGGGGGAGCATAGAGAAGAAAAGATTTATTGGAAAAAAATTTTTTAACATTCCTTTTTATTGAACTAAAAATTTTATTGTTCCTACGGAGCAGCTGAAGTTCCTATTTGATCCGAAATTGTTGCTGCTGCAAGTGTTGGAGGGGGCAAAACAAAAGCAACTTGTAAAGGTGTTCCTTGTTTCTGTAAAAGATTTTGCATCTCATCAGAAAAGTGTTTTTGACAATTTATGTTGCTTTGTTTTGTCAATGGTAGTGGTGGATGGATAAATGGATTGTGTTGTTGTACTACAGCAGCTTGTTGATTTTGTATCAATGCATTTGTTGGAACTCCAAAGGGAATTGTTGTTGTCCTCGATCCAGCAGCAGTAAATTGCGCTATCGTTGGAGCCTTTAAAGGGGATATCGGCAATAATGCTGCAGCAGATGGAGAAATAATTTGAATTGCGGGATGGATTCCAGATGGTTGTGTAAATAATAATTGTTGTTCGGCATTAATTGGAAGGGTCCAACTAAATTAAATTTCAAGAATTTTACACATTAACAAAAAATTTTACCTAAATTTATTTTCATATTGAAATCTCCTCTCAGCATTACTTTCACGTGCATTTTGCCAACACATTCTTCGTTGTTCTGGCGGTAATGTGGACGATCTTTTAAATTGTCTTCCTCCTCCAACAAAATTATAATCATTCCCCAAGTCAGTTTGTAAAGCTGTATCAACCCTTTGTTGAGGCTTTTTCTGTTTTAAATGATAAATTTGTTGATCTTTCACTCGTTTTTGTTGTTGCTGTTGGTGAGTTTGATCTCGAAGACGACGACATTTTCTACAGACCTAAAAACTTAATTTTCAATAAATTATTCAAAAATAATCATTAACCTGATGTTGTTCTTGTTGGGGAGTTGGTTGTGAATCTTCATCATCGGCAGTTCCAGTTCCACTTCGTATTGTTGGTCTACTACGAGAAACACGCCCACTTGGATCCAATTCATTTTCAGAACAACTTGTAGTTGTTGTAGCAGCTCCACCAAGTTCGTCATAATCGCTACTAACAGCATTAGTATTTTCTACAGCAGTAGTAGTAATAGCAAAATTCTGCATAGATTGTGCCATTGCGGACATCGTTTCATCACTTGTAGTGGTTACAGACATCTTAAATTTAAATAAAAATATTGGAAAATTGAAAACAGGTACACATCAACGTACCGACAAACTATAACTTCGTTCAGAATGGTCGAATCCGGGACGCCTTGGTAAGGTTAGAGATTCAGCTTGTCGAGTCGTATTCAACAATATCAGGGCGTCCCAGATTCGATAAATTTGAATGAAGTTATAGCTCGTCAGTACATTGGGCTCGAGATTCGTTGAACTGCTCCGAATACTAAAAAAACGAAAACAAAACCTTTTCATCAAAATCACTTCGTCTTCTATCATTCTCCTTTTCAAATTGTTCCAATTGTTGTGCAGACTGTTTCTCAAAATCTTCAGTATCATCTTGTCCAAAATTAACTTGAGTCGTTTTTTCTGCAGTTTTTAGTGTTTGACAACACGCTTTTGTTGATGTCTTATTGCTAGATTTTGTAGAAACATCACCAGTAGAACATTCAACAGTTTTGCAAACGGGAAGAGAAGGAGCAGGAAACACTGACAATTCCGGTATTAGAACAGATTGTAACATATCAAGCAATTTATCATAATTAGGCTAAAAATTAGTTTAATGTTAAAAAATTTTTCATTAAAAATAACTTCATCTCCAAAATGAATTTCACGGCAATAACGAATAAATTTTGCCAAACAAGGACAAAATTCTTCCCAACTTGTTTGTTCTTTTAATTGTCTAATTCTTTGGCTAGCTTGATGTCTTGTAGTTGCATTTCTTTTTGAAATATTCTGAAAATAAAAATTTTGAATAAAAAACAAAATTCATTTAAAATTCAAACCTTCCAAGGTAAATGGCCATTAACAAGTTCTATGAGAACATAGGCCAAACTTTCAAGGTCATCCCTTCGACTCAATTCAATATTTTTGTGACTGTTTAAACTTGCATATTTTGCTGTGCCAATAAAACTACGACCACGACGAAAGGGAATATGAGTCAATGTTCTGTTTTCACCTTCACGAAATCTAAAACAAGGGAGGTAATTAAATTAAATGAAGATACAATGAGAACAAAGGACAAGGGATAGGCCAGAAAAGGAGAAAATGTATGGTTAGGCTCTTGACGAATCCAAAAATTAGAGGTTAGTAGGAGAGATCGCAAATTTTAAAAACCTTATTTTGAGGACCTTGACGCGATTCTTAACCTTAAGGAAAAGTCAAGGCAAGGAAGAATCAAGGAACAATAAAAAATGCCTTGATCATGACTCTGGATCCACCTGAATCTGGGTCCAGATTCAGATTAGTAGAAGGTTAAAATCTCCACCTAGTAGAGGCTTTTTAAACAAAATAAGTAAAAATACCGATATCTTCTCGCCAAGCCAAAGTCGATTAAATAAAGAGTGCTTTCCTTGCCAGGAGGCAATCCCATCAGAAAATTCTCTGAAAATACAAAGAAAAATTATATAATGTATTCATGATAAACCTGGTTTAATATCTCGATGGATAAATCCCCGTTGGTGTAAATGCCTTATTCTGTGAATCATCTGCTCACCAAGTGATACAATCGTCTAAAAAATTTGAAAAGAAATGAGAAAAGGATAAAACCTGTCGAGCAAATCTTCGATTGCAAAAAGCAAATAAAGAGGCAACCGGCGCTCCCAAAAGTTCCATTACCATTATCTTAAATTTGGAAGATTTTTTAAAAATGGTTTAAAAAATTAGAATACGTTGTGCCCAAATTCGTGGTCATAACAATAAACTTGAGGAAAACCTTCAACTTTTCCATTTCCATCTTCATAAAGAACAGATTTGTAAACCTGAAAAAGAATTTATCGACTAAAAAGGATTCAATGATTTACCAAATACTCATAGCGCAAATGGTTATCACGACAAGCTGTTTAAAAATTAACACAATAAAATTAAAAAAGAAACCTCCATCAAATTTAACAGCAACTCTTTGTTTTTTAACTCCAGGACTGTGCAAATCCTCTGCTGCAAAAATTTCACCATAAGAACCAGAAGCGATGCTTTGCATAATTCGGAAGCGATTGTTGACGAGTAATCCAATTTTGTTTTTTATCATTGCTGCTTGTTCCCATCCTTAATAAAAATTCTTGAAAAATAAGATTGGTATATAAAAATGAGTCCACCACTAAGGTCAAATCAAAATATTTAGAGGCTAATACGGTGGCATGCTGACTTTTGCCCTGTCTGACATTTGAAGATCCCGTCCCTTAATCCCACATCTATCTTAATCCGCCCAAATCTATTGATATCCCCCTTAATACGTGTAAATCTGCAAAATCCTTTTTTGCTCCAAATATTTGGAGATGACCTTATGCATAATTCAACCTTTTGAGTCTTTGGGTCTTGACCCCTATCTTCTGGGTCGATCACATAAAAATAACCTGTAACAGCAGTAGTCCAATCTCCAGCGCCGTCTAACGATGGAGGCCGACATTTTTTATTAGGTGTAGTAACAATATGTTGTTGATGGTGATGAACAGCCATAACAGGATGGGCTAATTTGTGTAAAACTGCAGCGGCCGTAGACTGGGGCAAAAACGTTTGGGGAAGAAAATTTGAATGTGCTGTTGAAGCCGAGGGTGGTTGAATAAAAATATTTGGTGGAGGAGGAGGCAGAGGTGGCAATTGACTAAATGTCTGTGGTAGGGGAAGACAATCATTAATTCCCTTAAAAGAAAAAAATATGATGAATCAAAATATAAAAAATCAACCAAAAATGTAGGCGGATTTGGTCCGTGTGGGTGGTTGTGTTGACCAGAATGAATCAAATTTGCAGGAACAAAAGCAGCCGCAAAAGTAGAAGAGCCTGGTTGGCATGAATTTGAATCCAAAAATTTTGTTCCATTATCAATTACAGGCCTAAACGATATCAAATGTAGCTGGCCTGAAGAGGGAATATTCTGTTGTTGATTAGCCATTGCTGTAGTTGGATGACAATTAGGCATTAGTTGAACAACAGCCGAGCATTTTAAATTGTGTTGAGGGGAAAGTGTTGTTGTCTGAAAATGTGTAGTAGAAGCAGAAGATTGTGGTAATTGAAAAGAGTGAAAATTTGTAGAAGTTGTCAAATTATTTGGTTGATGCATTTTTGTTAGAATTTTAATTTCTTTGCAACTTAAAACAAAAAATTATAATAAAAACATTAAATCAAAAGGTAAAGTAATGTTCAATAAATAAACAAAATGTTTAGCAAAATAAATAAAAAAGAAGGGAAGAGAAAGGTACAGCCGGTAACGAGATGCGTTTGCACAAGGTTAGTACCAGCTCAAAACAAAAAAAAAGTGTTGAGGCGTTCTCGCAATAACAATTGCACCATTGGCTCCCATATAAAATCTCTATTCCTTAAAATCGCTATTCCTTAAAATCTCTACTAATCTAAAAATGCTTAAAATCTCTATTCCTTAAAATAACTATTCCTTAAAATCTCTACTGGGGTAAAAATAATTAAAATCTCTACACCGTGCAAATGGATGGTAGAGTCTCAACAAAAGTGTAAAATTTGAACTTTTCATTGGAAAACCCAGACTTGGTAATGGATACGGATATGGATACAATTGATTTAAAAATGGCTGCGGATATCTTCTTGTATCCGCCGTAAATATCGAAGATATAATACACGACTGCTTCGCTGCGGTCGTGTTCATTTTTCTTGCGGTGATCGTATCGAAGCGGCTGCTGTCGTTCCGCTGGACATGCCTGGGTTCATCCGCAGCGGCAAAAACAATACAAGCAAAATAATATCAAAAGATAAGCCAGAAATCAGAACAACGTTTCCGCACTGAACGTTGGCACTCAAAAGTCTTCCGAATGAAAAAATAGACATTTTATCCTATTTTTGGCCTGTAGAGATTTTAAGGCGTTTTACCCGTGTAGAGATTATGAGGAATAGAGATTTTAAGGAATAGTTATTTTAATAATTTTTAGCCGAGTAGAGATTTTAATGCATTTTAGCTGTGTAGAGATTATAAGGCATTTTAGCCCAGTAGAGATTTTAAGGAATAGAGATTTTGAGGGGATACGGCACCATTATTTACAAACGAGTACACACTGACTTTGTATATTTCTCTAATTTACTTTCTCTCGTCTATTTTTCACTCGTGATTATTGGAAAAAGAAATTGACGGGTAGTGGACGTTTCAGTGTTGTATATTATGGGAGGTCGTTTCAGAGTAACTTGTTCAGAGTGTCCTACTGTCGTATGAAAGAAAGGAATTAATATGAATTGCCGTACAAGATTTTACGGGATTCTGTCCTGAAATCTAGTGTTTGTCCTGTTGACTTTTGAAAATCCGTTGAAAGCGATTTTGCCGATCTTTAAATATAATATTAAAAATTATATTAAAAATGTAAATTTATTGATAACATTTTATAATTAAAAAATATAGAAACAACAGACAATACAAAATCTAGAATGTTCTAGTAAAATTATTAACATTCAGCTGAAACAATTCGCTGCCTTGGCATCCCATTGTTTTGGGATGTTGAAGATCTGTTCACTTCAGACCGTCTATTCTGACTAAACCCAGTTCCATTCTCAGCTTTATCCAACTGTCTTTCATTCCCTCCAACTCCATTTCGTGCAAACTGGCATTGATGCTGAAGGCGACGTTTTGCTGTACGTATAAGCCGATAGGAACCATATTTTATGTTTTCACGGCGGCGAACCATTGCCTGATCTGATGCCAACCACCGATGTGAAAGTGCTTCGTCTGTACGCATTCTCCGCCTATTTAAATTTGAAAAATTGTATCAAAAAATATTTTTATACGATGGCTGTTTCTTTAAAGCCCAGAAAACGAATTTGAGTGCTTCTTCGCTTGCCTGTACTGGGATCTAGGAGAAAGAAAATTTAGAATACTATAAAATTTTTTTACAAGGTTCGGATCACAACGCTGTTCAAGTACATTACGCCGTACTTCTTGAGGTGTGTCCGTCTCATCAGCAAATGGATGGAAACCAGCAAGTCTGAAAACCCCGGGTTTAGATTTTCCAATCATTTATGCTCAAACTCACAGGCAAAAAGTAATTAGGCCAAGACCCCACATATCACTTTGCTGATTGGCCAAAATTTGATCTTCGATATTTTTGGCAGAATTATTTTCCAAACTGTTAGACGTCTTTTTAGTTGTTAATAATAGAACTTCTGGTGCAGTCCATTCTTCAAGTAACTGTCCATCACCTGCTAATCCATTACGCGAACCTATAAGACGAGCTCTCCCAAAATCAATTAATTTAACATGCCAAGCTCGTTTTGTTGTGAACATTACATTTGTAGGTTCAACGTCACCATGAACAAATCTGTTATTTTTAAAGAGGTTCGAGGGTATTTAGGATCTAAACTTCTCACCCACAAAAGTGGATCCATCGAAGAGCACCAACAATTTGACGAATAACAAAAGCTATTTGTTCCTATAAGTATTATTAATTGAGAGGACTATTCGAAAGTATAACAACCTCGGAATATGTCTCAAGTCTCACAAATCTATGAAAAATATCTTCATAAAGCCGCTCCATGAAAAGAAGTTGGAAAGCATTGTCGGAGCAATAAGCAGCTAAAAGCTGAACGATATTTTCATGTTGACACTCTGATAGCGTTTCATATTCAATTAATGCCGCTTTCATGCGTTCTGCTGGTGTTGCAAACATTAATGAACCGTGAGTAGGTGAGGCACGTATTTTAACTGAACAAAATTCATAATAACCATAAAAAGATTCTAAAAATACCTATACAATGGGAACTTGTTTTAGAGTCAATGGCATAACGTATAACGCTAAACTGGCCACGGAAAAGTTCTGTTTCTAGCTGTAAATTAATATAGGTTTTAAACAGTAAAGGGAATATCAGATATCTTTAGTACCTGGAATCGTTTAAGCGGGTCCTCACTAGTATTTAATTGAACTTTCTTCGAAAATCCATTTCCGTTCCCATTAACAGATCCATTCCTTAAAGAATCCTTTCTAGTATTTTCATCATTTTGTATTTCAATTCCTTCCTCGTCTTCTTCCTCTTCTCTTTCAGCCAATTCTTCTTGAATTTCGGTAAGCCCTGGGCCTTTACTTTTTTGTGGCATAATAACTACAGTAAATCGACGCCCTTCCTTACGTAATACGTCTAAGTTAAATTTTGGAACACCTAAAAATCAAATAAAATATTTTCGAGGATGTGTTCGACCTCGAGGATGTGTCCGAATAATTCTTGAGTGTATCGAAGGCTCTCCCCATCCAAATTCATTTTTAGCAGTTACGCGAAATTGGTAAATACCTTGAGGCTAAAATATTTAATAAATTAGACCTCATTTTTTATCTTTACCAATAAATGCTTAATCACCACTGCTTCTTCCTCAACACAATTACTTAAACATGTCCAAGCCGAAAAAGCATCACGTTCACCTGCGGGTCTACATTCAATCCGATAAGTAGTCCCGTTTAGCTAACAATGTTTCTATTCAATAAAATTCAAAAGATCATACCGTAACAGGTAACCTTTCAGGTGCTTCCCAACTGACATAAACCTCAGTGTCCGCAGATAATTCAACTTCGGGACGGGAAGGACGATTTGGAGGTTCTTTAATCGGGATTCATTGTTAAATTCAAATAATATCCTTTTACCTCCTCCAATACATTTACAAATACATTTATCTCGCCCCAATTCGTTTGTAGCAACACATGAGTATTCCCCTGTGTCTACACCGTGTAGAGGTTTTAAAATGGTTAATCTGATCGAAGTTAATGAAAGTTAATTTTGTAAAATTAACTTATTCACCTCCATATATTATTCCCTAAACGGGTAATTTGATGCCGACCATCCTCACATAGTGCACTTTCATGATGAAAGAAGGTAACCTCAGGCGGAGGGTTACCTAAAATAATTTTACGAGTTCGATCCAAATTTTTTGATATTAACCAATAGGCTGGCATTCCATATAGACAGAAGGAGAATTCTCAGAAAAATAACCATCACGTAGACGTGAACGGAAAATGGGTGCAAATTCTTTAAACAATATTATTTTAATTTTTATTTGAATGTTTCCATACTTTTATCGCCACCATTTTGTAACGCTTCAGGAGAAGTTTCTCCTTGGGCTTCAATTTCATCCCCATTTGTTACTCGTCGTTGTGCACCTTCATGGGTTTGGAGTAAACCTTCAAGTACGTTATCAACTGATTTTGCAACTAGGGGTTCTTCTAAAAATGAGAGAGATTTGGAGGGAGATTTGCAGATTTTAAGAAGGATCTATTGGGATTAATTCTGAAAATCCCGCAGATTGAGAAATATGGCATTTCAGCAATAACCCCGAATCTCTCAAAAACCTCTTATTAAATCAGTATATCTACGCCTTTCTCTAACAGTCACATCTGTATTTCTTGCTCCAAGTTCTCCAGAAAAAACATAGGCAGCAGAATCACCCCAAATTCCACGCCTATAATCTCTAACTCGAGCATTAAAACGAGCTCCAAAAGTTGGCACCAATAAAGTTTCTGGCCCAATTTGGTAATTTGATTCCCAAGCAAAATCTTCATCTCCACTAATATTTTTAAGTGTTTGTAAACTTTTTACTTCACGTTCATACTCAGCATAAGCTGAATATGGCCTATAACTTTCTAGGTCTTTTTCTTCTTGTTTAAGTAAAGCTGGGGTTTTCTCCTTTAAAAATAATAAAAAATTTTAAACTTCAAATTTCATCCCATACAGATTTTCGTTTGTCTTGATCACGTTTAACTCTATCAACTGCATCCATTAGTAAATCAAATTCTGTATCAGGCAAGTGACGGAAAGGGGAAGGTTTTTGGACTGCTGAATCATGAGAAGCATTTGGCGATAGGGCCTCTTTCTTCGGCACAATCTGAACACTCATAGTATGTTCCCCGCGTGGTGAAAGTTGTACGGGCGATTTTATACCAAAATCTGGGATTTGAAGGGGAAGATGTTTGCTAGTAAAATGCTGTTCTGCTTCATCAAGTATTTCGGGTGGGGATGAAATATCGTCTGGAAGTTTCTGAAATTTTGGAAAAAAATTTTTTGAATGGGCAAAAATCTATTTCTATTTAATGACCTCTGATGGGAAAAAATGTTGTAATTGTTGATTAAGTGGAGGAGGAGATTCGGCCATAAATGCGGGAGAGGCTAAGGGAGTTACCGTACTAGAGGAAGGACCTTCATGTTCAGCTGTGGTTGTTGTACTCCCTTCCCCGTCAGCATCCATAGCATCTATTGGGGTTGTTGTTCTTCGAGGAACCTAATTAATTTTGTTATGTGTTTAACCAAAGATTAATTAAACATAAAGGATTAACCCAATCTTTGTCAACACCTGTTTTTGCGGCCGAGGAGTAGTTGTACCAGAGGAACGTTCACTGTTTTGGGTGGCTGAGCTATTCGAATCACCACCACCGCTTTCCTCGGAAATATCGGAAAGAACACGATTAGCAAGCTGTGAAATTAAACAAAAAATTTATTGAAGGGGAAACTACATATTAAGCACCTCCTCTTGAATCTGTCGACGTTCTCCTCTAATTAATTTCATAAGGGCTGATTGAGGATTCTTTAAAAAATAATTATTTTATCTATTATTTTATAAAAAATTACTTTTAAATCCTCTAATTTTAATTCAGTAATTCCAAATTGCTTAGCCAAATCAGCAAGGAATTCGGTCTCTTCAGGAGTCAACTTCTGTTGCTGCTGTTGTTGTGGTTGCTTTTGTTTCTTTGCCGCAGCTGCAGCCATCTATGAATTAATTTTGAAAATATTTTTAAATAGCTCCGTCACCTCCTCGATTTTCTTTGAAATTCCTGCAGGTAAAGGTGCAAACTGAGGGGGTCCAGTTTGCTGTTGATATCCCCCACCGGGGGCTGATCTTTCCGATGAGCCACTTCTGCTACGAGGAGGTAAGGGTGGAGGGGCTCCCTGACCTTTCGGTTGAAATTCTGGAGGCAAATAGAATCCTCCTCCGTAGGGGTCCCATCGCAAATGTTCTTTTTTAACGCCCGGGGGTAATTGAGAGACAATCCAGTCTGGAATGGGTGGAGGTTCTGTTGGAAATCGAGGAGTTCCAGGAGATTGACTTCGTTTATTTGGAGGTATAGGGAATGGAGGTTGTTGTTGTTGCCCTCCTCTATCTCCAAAAGGTTGGCCACCAAAATTATTTTGGCCTCTAGGTGTTGGAGATTCACGCATTGGCAACGGAGAAAGACCCTTCTGTCTTAGAGATTGAATTTGTTGGGCAAAATGTGGCTGTTTTGCTGCTTGTTCCTCAGCTCGAATATGCAAATAATCATATACAGCTAAAGGTTCCCTTCTAGAAATTTCTGAAGGCGTAGCAGGCTCCGCTGTAGGCCTCTTACTGCTTGCAGTACACAAAGCTCGAGGTGCTTCCACCATTTGTGTTAATTGCTCCGAAGGAGTTTGTTGTACAAATACTCGACGTTCGAGCCATTGATGTCGATATTTAAATTCACGTAAGCAATCAGTAGAAAGCTTAGCATCGTCTAAGGAAGGATCGGATAACCACTCTTGAGTCAATGCTTGTTGAACATCAATACGTCCACTTAAATGTTATTATTTTTAATTTTCTATTAGAAACAAAACTGTGGATCTCTAACTAGGAGTTTCCTAACAAATTCACGAGCATTAGACGAAATTTGTTGGTTTGTATCATCAAACTGAAACTCCCCTTTTAAGACATTTTGCAAAGTTTCTTCATCATTATCACCAAGAAAGGGTGATTGACCAAAAAGGAGTACATCTTTAAAATTATCAAATTTGTAAGATATTTTTAGAAATTGTTTAATTACAAGTAAGGGCTCCAACACTCCACATATCAGCTGCTAAAGTGACTGGTTCTGTTCCAGCTACTACCTCTGGAGAAACAAATTCTGGGTTAGATTTAATTGAACCACCCATCAATTTTCCATTAATTAAGCGTCTATAGAATCGCAATCAATTATTATTTTGACTAGCAAATCACCTGCTTTGACCAAAATCGGCAAGTCGAAGATGATCATCCTGCAGTAAAATAACCTCTGGTCTCAAATCCAAATGAACAATCCCCCGACTATGCATATAAGCTAGAGCTGTTAGTAATTGTTTTACAAAGATCTGGGAAAGAATTTCCTGAATCAAAAAGATAGTCCTTTTCTACCTGTACTTGTTCTTCCCTGGCTCCAGAAGGACGGGGTGCTGCTTCCCCAACTTGACATGTAGAAGGAGATCTTGAATGTGAACGTCTAGATGGTGGAGGTAGTAAAGAATCAAGGAAGGAGCGATCTGCGCTAAAAAGGAGATAAGACCTGATTTTAATATTTAATAAAATATACACAATTTTAGAGGGCTTAAGGAACGTTTTCCTGGTAATATTGAAGAAAAAGAGGTAATTGAATCGGTTGAGGATGCCATTAATTAAAAATAATTTAAGATTTTTTTAAATTTAGAAGAGCAATAATATGGCCATTTTCCAATATTTTTTTATAAGCTTGCGTGTTTTGGATCAAGAGCTATTGGGTTGGTATATCGGAAAAAATATTATTTTTGTTTGCTCATCTATTAGAGTTACTCGCTCTTTTATTTGTCGATTTTACCAATAATTTTACCAATAAATCCACTCATTAAAGCTCTCTTAATTCTTAAGAATTTTAAAATTTTATTTTTCAATTTAATTACTGCAAAATTCTACAAACTTTCCATAAACTATCACAGCTTCACCATCCTCCACCAAAACTTGGTGTAATTGAGCAAGATCAGGCGATTCACGCAAAACATTATGCATTTGAATATCCCTTTCCAATTCTTCATCCAAAGGCTTCCTTTGTGCCAAGAAGCGTCTACCAGTAGAGCGTTCAACAACATTGAAGCAAGGAGAAATACTCCTTGGGGTTGATGAAGCAGAGGACATTTTTTAACTTAATAGAGGGATAAATTTTTAAAAAAAATATGGGTATATTTGAACTAGGACTGCAGGACTATTATAATTTGCAAAGGATGCACAAATATTTATCCACAAGGCAACTGTTACTTAAAGCTATATTTACAGCCTTAAAGCTTGAGAATAGTGCAAGAATTTTAGTACTATTTCTATTTTTATTTAATAAAGAACTTGTAAAAAAGTTGGAAGAGATTTTAACGTGTTGGGGAAACACGATCGATTTAAAAGCACCAGATGTGTGAGGATAAAAGTGAATAAAAATTTAAAAGCATTGACTAATGTTGTATCCATGTGTGTTTGATAAAGTGAAGGGAGTGGGGGGGGGGTATAATCGTTTTTGGCGTTATTAGGTGAGCAGTGAGATATCGAGGGAGGACTTATGTTAGTAGGAAACTGTAGGAGAGAGAGTCTAAAAGGGAGTCAACCTCACTGAAATTTTTATTAATAAAAACGGATAAATTATATCAAATATTGGCTTAAATTTGGTCAAGAACTACTTAATCTTACTTTAACATAAATATTTAATTTACCAGCTCTATTAGTAAATCCTCAAGATTGCAAGAAGCAGCATAACCAACGCTTAATTATTGCCAGATATTGTAAAAATTAGTTACTCTCTAAATAAATAATTAAGATAATGTTGTAATATTTTTAGATAAAGCAAATAAATATGTAAGTTAAGGCTATAAAAATTTTAAAAATAAATGAACTTTGCTTCTGAATATTTATCAAAAATTAAAAACATTTTTAAAAATGGCGAGCTTTTTGGCCGTAAATTGAGGGATCAACAAAAATTAGGGAAAGAATAAATACGTTCCATTAATTTTTAATTTTTTCTAATTTTAAGGAAAATTTTCACGGAAATTTTCGAAAAATTAAAAAAAACGGAACGTTTAGGGACTAGAATAAAATTTTTATAAAATTAATCTAATTACTACATAAAATTATTTAACAGATTCTGTTGCAATAGAATATTCTTCTTCTACAGCTTCTTGAATATCATAAATATCTCGAAGAGGTCCGCGCTCCAATTTTATAGATTTTCGAAAGTCTTTTAGTTTGAAATCTTTCAAAAAGTCATTTTCGACTGTTAAATAAATTAAATTTATTTTTAAAAAATATTTGGATAACCTTCTACAGTAATAGTACAAGAAGTAACTGCTTGACCTGCGTCGTTGAAGGCAGTACAGCTGTAAATAAATTTAGTTTATTTTTCTATAGGACGCTGTCTTTATCAGAGAGTAGGGTTGGGAGTTCTAAGGATGTCGAACCCGGATATCCAGAAAGTTGGATATCGCTTTCGGCTCCAGAAATCTAAAGATTTCTCAGGAACAAATAATCTCATTAGAGAAGTACAATATGAAGGGTACAATAGCGACAAGGGCTCCTATTTTTCGTGAATAAATTATTTAAAAATTTTACGTATAAATGCCGGAATCGCTCCAAATGGGTTGATCAATAAGCAGTGTACGCAAATTCGAATCTTCTTGAATCAGATGAACGCGTGAAGATTCGGCAACTGGCCGCCAATCCTTTGATCAAATATTTAAAATTTAGGGGGATAAAACCAATATTTATGCACCTTAAGCCATTTAACCTCTGGCACAGGATTGCCTTCTACACGAACATTTAGCCTTAATGGCTTATCAGAAGTGTAATCCCGATTTGATAAAGGTTGAGTGAATTTTGGGCGGGCTAAAAGTTTCAACTGATAAAGCTTATCATTATCTTAAACTCACTAGCAACATCAACAAGTAAATTTTGTTCAGCTTTTCCATACTGGTTCTCAGCCACACAGGTATATTGCCCAGCATTTGACTTTTGAAAGCCTAGGAATGTGATGGTAGTCTCAGCACCAGCATGTGAGGAAATACTGGAAGTATTCAGAAATATTATTTTTTAAGCAAAAAATCACCGAATGTTTGAGGTTGGCCCGGAGGCATCAATATCCCAACCTCTATGTTTCCATGTAATTTTTGGATCAGGATATCCTGCATAATGTAAAGTAATTGAAAGATGGTCAGTTTCTGCAACGAAGTGTCTTTCTTTCACGCCTGGCGCGAACCTAAAAATATTTTCAATAAAACTTCTTTAAAAAATTTTCAGCACCAAGGAGTGCAAGCATATTGTTCAGCATGTGCTTGATCTAAAGCTCGCTCCATGTAAGGGTCAAGAAGAGGTATAACTCGGCGGAACTTGTCTAAAACTGGTGGAGGTCTTGCCATTAGCCTCGATGGGGGTGATGGGGGAGATGGATCGCTAATTCCATAAATATTCTCGGCACGAACACGAAACTGGTAGCTTTTTCCCAGTTCAAGATTTCGAACTTTGCAGACAGGCTCTGGAATATTGTAGTCAAGTAGTTGCCAGTCTTTATCAGGCAATTCACGAAATTCGATAACATATGTAACTTGAGGGTATCTTGGAGGACTTCTCTTTGTTGGAATCCAGGAAAGGGTTAAATAATGGCCAGTAACTTCTCTACAATAATAAGAGATTAAGGATAAGTCAAATCTTTAAGCTTCTCACTTTATGAAAGGCCCTCTATCAGGGGGTGTTGGAATTGATTTCATTTGCCTTCTGAATCCGTATTCTTCCTATAAATAAAAATCTTTTTTAGTAAACATTGCTATTCCAGCGGACCGTTAAATATGGTGTAACGTCTTCAGAACCGTCAAATTTAATCTTGTCCATGAATGGAACTGTTACATCCAAAATGGCAGAACTTTGTGCCTGTCCATGACAGTTACGCGCAATAGCGACATATTCACCCGCATCTTCAGTACAAACATCTTGTATTAGAAGGGCATGCGAACCACCACCAGCAACCTGGATCTTGTGACGAGGGCCGGGGCATATCTTTTTTCCATTGTGATACCTAATAAAATTTTATCTGGGAAGTCTTTCTCAACTTCATACCAATCAACATCCGGCGGTGGATATCCAACCACAAGACAATCAAATATTGCAGGCATTTTAACGAATACATGTTTGTTCTTGAGTTGTCTAATAAAGCCAGGTGGGAATGGCATAGCTCCACGTCCTTCCTCTTCTTCTCCTTCAACAACACGAGGTCGAATGACACTTAAGGAGCCTGTGGAGACAACCTCTCCAAGTGGATTTTTTGCAACAACTGAATAATCTCCGGCATCGTCTGGTTGAACATTTACAATTACCTGAAGAGAGTTAATTGTATAGAGGAATCGGTATAAGTTCCAACCAAATGATGAAGGCCTCGCTCATCTTGGAAAATACTTATCCTCGAGTCAGGTGCGCCAGCAGCTTCTGCCAAAGGTTTACCATCCTTAAGCCATTCAACACTTGGCGTAGGCACTCCCAGAACGGCAACTTGCCATTCGAGAGGGCTTCCTTGATGTATGCTTTGATTATGCAGACCACTAAAACTAAGTTTAAGTAAAGAACTTTAAGGAATCCTTACGGCCTAATTCTCGGCTTCTGGTCAGCTGGAGGGCCCTCTTCTTCTACCTTTCTTGAAGGCAAACGATCACCTATCATTTTAAGCTCTGCTTTAGTGCTGGCTGTGCCATACTATAATATTATAGGACTTGAATAATTAAAATCTATGGTATCCTACTTCATTATTAGCCACACATCGATAGAATCCTTCAGAGGGAAAGTCTACATTTGTAAGTGTTAATCTTTGTGTTCCATCTGGCAATGCTTCAATACTAATTCCTTCACCAGGCTTAATTTCAATCCCATCCTTGAGCCATTTTATATCAGGGAATGGCTGTCCATAAGGAAGGCATTCGAAAACAACTGTTTCTGTAGGCTTTGCACGTTTCATAGTTAAGGGGATAGTAAAGCCTGGAGCACGACCAATGTCCTGAAATTACTTTATAAAAATTTAAGGATTGCTAGGTTACTTTTAATTGATCTTTCAAACGTTCTTCGAATGGTTTTCGAGCTTCTTTTGATACTTGAACTTCTCCAACAGTTCGAGCAGTACCAAAAGGATTCTCTGCTATACAACGATAATTTCCAGAATCAGATCGCATTGATTCGGGGATTTCCAATTCACACCATCCATCATCATCAATTTCTGGAATGGCAACGTGGTCATAAGGAAAGAGACGATCTCCATCTTTATACCTATTGAATTTATAACTTTCTTTAAAAAATTTTTCCTTCAAACCATTTAATGGTAGGCTTTGGATCTCCACTACGCCATCCGAACCGGCATCGCATTTTTATTGGCTCTTTTTCCATTACTTTAACATTTTGTAAAGGTTCAAGTAGCTTTGGAGCTCTATTTGCATCGAATTCATCAGAAACTCCCTCAGGTTTTTCCAATTTTGGACGTTCTTCTTCAGCTTTTTTAACAGATACTGTACACTTGTCATAAGCTGAACCATGAGGATTTGTAGCAATCACTCGGTAAACCCCGTCATCATCAATAGTGCATGAGGGAATAATTAGTTTTCCGTCTCCAGATTTAGGGTCACGTTCTAAACGGCATCGTTCTGAGGGTCGAATCTGTTCTCCATCCTTGTACCAAACCAACTCGGGTGTTGGATCACCTTCAACGCGGCAATGGAGTGTTAGAGGTTGCCCTTCTGTTACTCGCTGATCTGCTAGGCGTACGCTGATTAATGGAGGTTTTCCTTCAGCAGTTGGAGGCGCTCCCTTCTTAAAATTTGAGAATATTTATTTAGCAAGGAAGAAGTTACCCCTAGCTCATCTTCAACCCGTACAGTCGCCCTTGTACTTGCTTGCCCACTCTCATTTGTAGCAACACAACGATAAGTTCCTTCATCGTGGGCAGTCGCATCCCGTATTCGCAATCGGTAAAAACCTTCATCTGGCCGACTCTCGCTCCAATCGAAACGGGCATCTTCCGCCAAAGGATGACCATCTTTTGTCCATTTTACCGTGGGTAATGGTTTTCCAGTTACTTTACATTCTAATTCAATAGGAGAGCTAGTAAATACGGTAGAATCAGAAAGGGGAATAATGAAGCGTGGTGCTTCTCCCTCTTCACTTGGTGGAGGCTTTTCTGCTTTTAGTTTCACTAAAAATTCGGAAAAATAATCATTCTGTATTAAAAATACTCACTATCTACATGACCAGTAGCTTGTGTTTTAGCAGTTCCAAAAGCATTAGACGCTTCACAACGATAAATACCCTCATCTGCAATTGAGCAATCAATTATAGTAAGCCGGCATTCTCCATTTGGAAGACGTTCAATCTCAATTCGGCCTTCAGCAGGAGAAAGTAGTTTACCATCCCTATACCATTTGATTTCGTCTGGTGTTCCACCACCCAAAATACAGCTGAAGACCATTTTGTCACCACGGTCAATGTACTGATCAACAAGGCCACGGACAAATTGAGGAGGTTCACCAGCAGCCTCCTCAGTGACAGATGGAGCTCGTTTTTTAACTCCAACTTGACATGCGGTGTTGGCGCTGCCATGAATGTTTTGGGCAACACAGCGATAAGCTCCTAATTAAGGAAAATATTTTTAAAGGATTTTTGAGGTAAATCACCTTCATCGTTAGTTAAACAATCATCAATTGTCAACAAACACTCTCCACTTTCTTCATTATAATTTATACGAATCCTGTCACCTGGTCTAATAGGTACACCATCCTTGTAAAACGTAATACTTGCTGGTGGTTGAGCTTCTACTCGGCAACGAAGCAAAATTTGTTTGCCTTCCTCAAAGGCACAATCTTCCAATCCGGGATTGAATCTTGGAGCTTTTGCAAGCTCTTCTTTAGGTGCTTCTTTTTCTGCAATTGGTTCAACGTTGTAGTTTGCGCGGGTATCAGCAACTCCGAAGGGATTTGTTGCCTGGCAGCGGTATTCACCTGCTCCGGCGTCAGCACGAAAATCTTTAATGCGCACCCGGCAGGCTCCATCTGGCGTATTTCTAATTTCAATGCGTCCATCGCCAGTGTCCTTGAGTGGTTCACCATTGTAAAACCTTAATGATATTTGATAATTCCCATGAAAATCTCAAAAACCCCCACCATTCAATATCCGCTGCAGGTTTCGCATCTACATGACATTCAATTGATAAAGGTTGTCCTTCAGGTATTCTTCGGTCCCAAAGAGGTACATTAAATTTAGGAGCATAACCACTTGGTTCAGATGGAACAATTGAAGGTTTCCTTTCAGAAGGCTCAAACTGTGCCTCACATTGATCCTGTCCAAGTGGATTACTTGCAACACACTTTAGTGTCCCAAAATCTTCTTGACGTATATCAGCAATGGTTAAGGACCAATTTCCATCAGATAAATCTTCAAGTTTGAAACGTGGTTCACCAATAATTGGTTTCCCATTGAGTGTCCATTCGAGTGTTGGGGAAGGCACTCCTCGCACTTTAACACGGAATTCAACATTTGAACCAGGAGCTCCTTCAGTCTTTTTCAATGGGATAATGAATTTTGGTGCTTCTCCTTTCTCGGCACCACCAATTGTTACTTTAACTTGGCAACTTGTTTCAGCCTGTCCCGCTTCATTTTTAGCGACTGCTCGGAATTGGCCAGCTTCAGAACGTTTTACATCTCGGATACGAAGCATGGCACTTCCATCCAAGCCCAAACGAATGGCTATACGATCACCATCTGGTTGGAGTTGTTCTTCTGCAGTGGCACTCTCTGCTTTGCGATACCATATGACCTTTTAATAATTTCACTATAATGAGGAAAAAGGGGTAGTTTACCTCTTCAGGCAATGGCTGTCCTCCAACAGTGCACTTTAAGGTAAGAACTTCCCCCTCTGGCAATTCTACGTCCGAAAGTGGAGATAGGAATACTGCTGGACTTGTTTCTATTGATGGTTTCCGCGAGCGAACATGAGCAACAGATCCAGAAGAAACTTCTCCTCCAGCAGGGTTTGCAAAAACTACACGATAAGCCCCTCCATCTGAGGTAGCTGCTGAAGGGATGAGCAATGAATAAATACCAGTTTCTGGGTTGGAAATCTTTAAAAGAATAAATTGTGTTCTTTCAGAAATTTTAAATGTTTTCATACAATTTTTAGCCTTTCTCCATCAGGTTTTACTTCCACACCATTTTTCAACCATGTAACACTTGCAGGCTGTCCATCCAATTCGGCAACAAGTTCAAGAGGTTCACCCTCGTTAATGGTAACATCATTTAGGCCTTTACGCAATTTGAATTGGACAGGCTTGCGCACTTTCAAATCGGCTTGAGATTCACATTGACCAGCCCGATTGGATAGAATAACCTATAAATTTAACAAATGCCTTAATAACCTATATTATCTCAACCTTATAGGTCGCACCATCCTCAAGTTTTGCATCAGTTAATTCAAGCTCATACTTTTTAGGCGAAATATCTTTAAGACGAAAACGAGCACCAGTCGGTGCCGTAATTTCCTGGCCATCTTTGAACCATTTTACTGTAGAAATTTTTAAACAATTTTGTTTCAATGTTAAAAATATCTACCAGTTCGAATAGGGGCTGAAGCCTCAACACGGAATAGATGTTCATCTCCTTCAAGAATATCTCCTGGAAGGAGTCCTTGAACAATCCTAGGTGCCTGATCGACTTCGGCACGGGCAGTAGAAGCTGCCTTGCCTGCAGCATTGATAGCTTGAACTTCGAATTCGCCAGCATCTGAGAGAGCAGCAGCTGGGATTGTCAGACGGTACCTAAAAATAGGTAACGTGAAGTTCAAAAAGTTTAAATTCCTCCACAAACGTTTGATCATCAACTTTCTGCACTTGAATTCGAGCATCTTTGCCGACAGGAAATTCATCCTTTAACCATTTAATCTCATCAACATCTCCCTGTATTTGGACCTCAAATGTTAGAGGCTCTCCTTCAGCAACGATCTGATCAAGCAGAGCTTTTACAATTTTAGGAGGTTCTAGTTTCTTGAGAGGGCGAACAGACAATTGTGCAGAACTTTCAGCTTTTCCAGCAGAATTTTCTAGCTGAATCTTATATGATCCAATATCTTCTTTTATGGCAGAACGAATAATTAATTTGAAGATGCCGGTAGTCGGTTCAGAGATTATTTGTACTCTATCATCAGCAATGATCTCAGTTCCATTTTTAAACCATCTGATAACTCGTGGCAAACTTCTCAAATTAGTCTCACACATAAACTCTGCCACAGCACCTTCGTCAACTTCCAAATCCTTGAGTGGTTTAATAAATTCTGGGAAGGGTTCAACAGTTTGTTTAGCTTCACATTTAGCCTTTCCAGCATCATTTTCAATTTCTACAGAATAGAGACCAGAATCATCAGCTAAAGCAGAAGGAATGATAAGACGGAAGTGATCAGGCCCTAATTGTTCCATTCGAATGCGGTCTGATGGCAATAATTCTTGGCCATTTTTGTACCTAAATTAGGCAAAATATTTTCATGTTTCTGGCAAACTTTTTCCTACCATTTGACCAAAGTTGGCTTTCCAGTAGTCTTAACCTCCAAAACAAGCTGATCCTTCTCAGGAATTGTTTGCTCACGAAGGGGTTGTTCAAATCCTGGTACTTTTGCTAAGGATCGCACACCTAGCTGAGCAGAACTTTCTGCCTTTCCAGCAGTATTTTCTAGAAGAATTTTGTATGTTCCAATATCTTCTTTTATGGCTGATTTAATAATTAATTTGAATATTCCAATATTCGGTTCAGAGATTATTTGGATCCTATCATTTGCTATGATCTCACTTCCATTTTTAAACCATTTAACAACTCGTGGCAAGCTTCTTAAATTAGTTTCACACATAAATTCCGCCACCGCACCTTCATCAACTTCCAAATCCTTGAGTGGTTTAATAAATTCTGGGAAGGGTTCAACAATTTGTTTAGCTTCACATTTAGCCTTTCCAGCATCATTTTCAATCTCGACAGAATAAAGCCCAGAATCATCTCTTAGAGCAGAAGGGATAGTAAGACGGATTTGATCAGGCCCCAATTGCTCAATTTTGATACGATTCGATGGAGAAACTTCTTGGCCATTTTTAAACCATTTAACAATGTGAGGCTTCCCAATAGTTTCAACTTCAAGTAATAATTCATCCTCTTCCGGAATTGTTTGTTCTCGCAAAGGTCTTTTAAAACCAGGCTTTTCAGCTGGAAGTAAAACTCTAAGTTGGCAGCTAGAATCGGCACCCGGTTCGTCTTCTTTGTCAAAGACTTTGACCTTAAAATAATTTTTTATAAAAATATTACAAGGGTACTAATCACACCGAATAATTAGCTGCATCAATTTCATCAGCATCAGGAATCTCTAGTTTAAATTTAGTATCAGATATCTGTTTTGGCTGTGCTTTCACTTGTCCGGGCTTTAATTCTTCACCATTTTTATACCATTTTACTATTTTAGGAGCTCTGTTAGTTTCGATTTCTAGGACTGCAGTTTGGCCTTTTGGCACTTGTTGATCTGTTAGAGGACGGACAAAGCCTAGAGGAGGAAGTGCAGGAGGGAGTACTGTAAGTGGGGCAGAGGAATCTGCTTCTCCAGCATTGTTGGATAATACAACCTGGAAGATCAGATTTTAGGTTGAAAATTAAAGAAATTCAAGAATTTTTCCAACCTTGTAATCCCCTTGATCATCTTCATTAGCTGATGGTATAATCAGACGATAAATTCCAGCAGCTTTGTCCTCTTCAACTACAGGATTTTCCAATTCCTTTCCGTTCTTGTACCATTTAACGGTTCTAACAGGTCCACGAGCTTGGACTTCGAATTTGGCAGGTTCGCCAGATCGAACGCTTACAGGCAATAGACCTTTGACGATTTCTGGTTTTGATTCTGAAAATTGTTTATACTTAAATATTTCTATAATTTAATATTTTTGTATGCTAATAATTATTATTCGTTTTAAATTGAGAGAAGAAAATAAGAGCTGCGCGACAAGTTTAGAAGCAATTAGAAACAAACAAAATGGCACATTTAATAATGATCAGTAAAGAATAATTAGAAAAACGATAAAATCGTGATTAGATTGCGCAATGATTTTGATGGTTAATGAGGGAAATGGCAGATATTTACAATAAAAATATATTTAATGGGACTATAATTAAAATAAATTCAATATAAAAATACAAGGAATTGTATTTTATTTTTCATTAAAGCACTTGATAAAGCTTAAAAATGGCAAATATTATTTCCCTTGTTTTGTTACAATTAATAATGGCACAATTTTTTGTGATCAGCATCAATGGATCGGGCAAGTTTTGAGTGATTTTTAGCAAAAATCCTTCCTATAACAGAGGACTACCATCATGGATATGGCCATCACCAACCCTATGGGTATGGACATGGATATGGTCAGAGATATGGTAATGACTATGGATATGGAGGGCATAACCCTTCGGATCATCATGGAGATTATGGGTAGAAATAATATAAAATGAAATGTTAAATCACGTCCTTTTAAAGTTATGGACATCATGATGACCATCATAATCCACACAATCATTATGGCTATGGAAATCCGGGGGGCTACGGTGGAGACTATGGAGGAAAATACGGAGGATACGGACATTATGGAGGAAATGGAAGTCCGTTTCCTTACGCAAAGTATATGTGAATAAAAGAATAATAAATAGAGAAGAGGAGGAATTTATTGATAAAAAGTGATTAAATTGATAAAAAATAAATTTATAGGACTAATATTTTTGTAATTAGAGATAAAGCCTTTCAATAAAAATATAAAACTCCCACCAGCTTCAGTAACAGCAGCGGCGCTGTCGGCCGAACCAGCTCCATTTGAAACTTGTACGGAATACTTGCCAAAGTCCCCGTCATCTTTGAGTTCGGGAACCATTAAACGATAATGTCCATTGCCCAAATCTTCACCAGGGCCTAATGGACGTCCATCTTTGAACCATTGAATATTCGTTGGTTTTCCATCGACTTCTACGTCCAGAACTAGAGGAGAGCCCTTAGGAAGGTTCTGATCTTGTAGGCCACGTTTGAATGTTGGAGGTGTCTCTTTAACGGATGCTAAATAGAAGATATAAATTGAACTACATATTCTTATAAACGTACGAATAACAGTTAGTGGCGCTCCAGATCTAGCAGACCCTGCTGGATTTGTTGCTACACATTCGTAATAATTTCCATCATCGTTGGGGCCGACTGGAGGCAAATGAAGGCGTTGTGTGCCATCTGGTAATGATTCAACTTTCCCATCATCTGGTCCAAGTTCTCGGCCATTCTTGTACCATTTAACATCAGGTTTTGGAGTTCCATGTATTTTACATTCAAAGAAGGGTTCTTCTCCTTCCTTAGCCTGTACAGGTTTAAGTTGTTCAACAAATTCTGGCACCATTTCCTTCGGAATTTCAGGCATTTTTTCTGCTAAAACTACACGAAGAGGAGCCTCAGTTGATGCTTTCCCAGATGGATTAGTTGCTTCACAACGGAACTGGCCAGCATCGGTAATGCGTGCCGCAGGAAGTGTTAGGCGTGCCGTGCCATCAGGGAAAAGAGTTTGTTTGAAATGAACATCCCCAGCATCAATTGGTTCACCATCCTAAGATTAGCATTAGAAAAATAGAATTATCTACATAGCAAAACTTGCCTTAAACCATTTAAGTGTAGGCATAGGTTCTCCTTTTACAACACATTCCAACTCAGCAGGTGCACCCTCTTGAGCATGAACCTCCTGTAGAGGTTTAACGAATGAGGGTGCAGTTGGCCCTTGCATTTCGGAAACTTCAGGGGTGTGGGCTAAAAGACAGATTTTCTGGTAAATGCATTAATACGGAGATAGCTCACTTGAAACAGTTAATGTCACATCACTCCAAACGTCCCCGTATTTATTGCTAGCTTCACAGCGATAATCATCCATATCCCCAAGTTGTGCATCACTGATAACTAGTCGCTGTGTTCCATCAGGATGTGCCTCGATACGGTATCGGGGATTTGCCCCTTGAACGAGAAGCTGATCACCCTTGTACCATTTGATTTCTGGGAAAGGAAGTCCTGTAACTTTGCCTTCAAGAATTCCAGTGCCACCTGAGAGATTGGGGGAAATAATCACAAATATTTTTCAAATTATGGTTCATACCAACACGGACAGTAATAGGGCGTATTGGCTCAGTAAAATCAGGTGCCTCTCCATCAATTGGTAAACTACCCTCTGCAGCAACAATAATCGGGCCCTAATAACAAAATAATAATTGACCAGAATATTCTGATTTTTAAACATTCTACCTCAGTCCAAGCAGTTCCATACTCATTTTCAGCATCACAGCGATATTCACCAGTATCCTCCATTTCGGCATTTTTAATCGTTAAAATAATTGTTCCATCATCATGATATTCCATGCTTATACGATCTGTTGCTGTTACAGGGCCATAGCCTTGTCTACTCCAAGTGATTGTAGGCCGAGGAAATCCTTTCACTTTACAACGAAGTACAACAGTTCCCCCTATTGTTGTTGTTGCAGATTTGAGAAGTTCTACAAATTCGGGTGGTCCGGGTGCCATCTCACCTCCTTCGGCTGGCGCTAAGATTATTTTATTTAATTAAGTTTGGGGGAAAAACAAAGGAAATGATGATAAAAATCCAATTCACCAATAACTCCAAGTCTAGCCTCGGTCCAAATTTGATTGCCATTAACATCTGTAGCAACACACCGATAAACGCCAATGTGATCGAATTGAGCACATTCGAAAATTAATCGCTGAGTAAACCCATCTGGGCTTTGCTCAATTCGTAGAGCATATTGCAATAATTTATTAGCTAAAATTGCACCATCCTTGAGCCAGTCAAAGCTTTAAATTTAATAGGTTAACAAATTAGTGTTGGGAGAGAGAGAAATTACCGTATCCCTCTAGCAGCAGTAGGTGCCAATTCACATTCAAACACAACGTTTGTTGTTCCTTTCTGAACTTGTTGATCTTGTAGTTGTCGACGCCAAGAAAGTAAAGTTTCTTCCATTGGTTGTTCAATTGCAACTTGTTGGGCATATCGAAGAGGAGCGCTTGTTTCAGCCTTTCCAACAGGATTGACAGCTTCACAACGATACTCCCCAACATCGTCTTTTGTGGCATGAAGAATGCGCAATCGCAAAGTGCCATCTACAGATTGCTCCATTTGGATATTTGGTGAAGCTTGTGGGGAGATTTGTCGGCCGTCATGAAACCATTGAATTTCTGGTTTTGATTCAGTTGCGTTAACCTTATAAGGAAATATTGGGATTTAAAATGATTCTTAGATAAAGCCTACTTGACAACTCATCTCCACGCTTTCACCCTCCTTCACTGTTTGTGGCTCTAGTTTTCGTGTAAATATTGGTTGAACCTGTCCTTCCTTCATTGGTTCCACTACATGTTCTGTTGGGAATTTTAAAGGAGCACTAGTTTCATCCCTTCCAGCTTTATTAATAGCTTCACATTTATAAACTCCAGCATCTTCTTTTTGTGCATTAGAGATAGTTAAAGTGTGATGCCCTTTATCATCCTTTTTAGCAACAGCGTGGACTCCATCCATATATATTGGTTCCCCATTTCGAGTCCAACGGATTTCAGGTTCAGGCTTTCCTTGTACTGTACATTCAAGATTGACTACATTTTGTCCAGGTTCGACTGTAAGCTCTTTAAGTGGTTCTGTAAATTTTGGAGCTTCAACGTCTTCGATAACTCCAAATTTGGCCTGAGTCTCAGCTTGTCCTGCTTTATTCACTGCCTTACAAGTATAGGTCCCAGCATCAGCAAGATTTGCATCTTTTACTGTTAAGCTGTGTTGGCCCTTCCCTTCATCTTTGGCAATTGTGTGGACATTATCAACCTGAACAGGACATCCATCTTTGTTCCATTGAACTTCTGGTTCAGGCTTTCCTGTAACTTCAACTGACATTTTAGCTGTTTCGCCTTCCTTTACTTCAACAGGTTTAAGTCCATCAATAAACCTTGGAGATTCCAGTTCTTCTATAACTGCGAAATTGGTTCGAGTTTCGGCAGAGCCAGCCTTATTTGTTGCTCTACAACTATATGTTCCTGCATCAGAATTCTTCGCATCCTTAATTATTAGTTCGTGTCTTCCATGCCCATCATCTGTAGCAACTACATGAATTCCATCAACTTGAACAGGCTGTCCATCCTTAAACCATTGAACTTGTGACAATGGTTTACCCTTCACTTCAACAGACATTTTTGCCGTTTCCCCTTCTTTTACTTCAACAGGGGTTAATCCTTTAGTAAATTCTGGCGCTTCTAAATCTTCTATAACCCCAAATTTTGCCTGTGTTTCAGCCATCCCAACTTTATTAGTTGCTTTGCACGAATAGGTTCCAGCATCTGCTGTATTGGCATCTTTTACTGTTAAACTGTGTTGGCCCTTCCCTTCATCTTTAACAATAGTGTGAACATTGTCAACTTGAATAGGCCATCCATCTTTGTTCCATTGAACTTCTGGTTCAGGCTTTCCAGTTACTTCAACTGACATTTTAGCTGTTTCTCCTTCTTTGACTTCAACAGGTTTAAGCCCATCAACAAATCTGGGTGCTTCCAATTCTTCAATAACAGCAAACTTTGCCTGAGATTCTGCTTCTCCAACCTTATTAGATGCTTTACAGGTATAAGTTCCAGCATCATTATTTTTGGCATCTTTAATTATTAATTCGTGCTTCCCATGCCCATCGTCTGTAGCGACTATATGAACGCCATCAACATTAACGGGTTGTCCGTCTTTAAACCACTGAACTTTAGGTGCCGGCTTACTATCCACTTGGACAGACATTTTGGCAGTTTCGCCTTCCTTTACTTCGATTGGTTTTAAGCCATCAACAAATTTGGGAGCTTCTAGCTGTTCTATTACTCCAAGCTGTGCTTGTGTTACGCATTGGCCAGCCTTATTTTTTGCTTGACATGTATATGTACCAGAATTGCGGAGAGTGGCATTTTGAATGGATAAGCTGTGTTGATTATCTGAATCACGTCGGATTATGTGTTGTCCGTCAATTTCAACTGGAGATCCATCTTTGTACCTAAATTTGAATAAACTTTAATTAATAATCATCAGATTTTCCTACCAAAATATTTCTGGCGTAGGTACTCCACTAACCATCACTGACATTGTTGCTGAATCACCTTCACGTACTTCCACTGGTCGCAAACCTTCCGTAAATTTAGGAGTTTCCAACAATTCCTCAACAGTTACACGACTGTCGGTTTTCGCTTGCCCAGCTTTATTTGTTGCCTGGCAACTGTAAAAACCAGTATCGGTGATTAAAGCATCTTTTAACTGAACAACATAATGCCCTCTTTGTTCATCAATTTCTTGTTGAACAATTCGAGTATCGAATTGAATTGTTTGACTATCCTTAAGCCATTGAATTTGTGGTGTTGGTCTTCCTTCTACAGTAACCGAAAATGTTACTGTTTCACGTTCCCGAATTTGTACATCACGCAAAAGTTCGGTAAAAACAGGAGGGGCCAAATCCTCACGAACTGTTAAACGTCCACGTGTTTCAGCTTCTCCTGCTGGATTGACTGCCTTACAAGTATAAAGGCCAGATTCTGAAGGTGTTGAAGTAGTAATAGTAACAGAATGTCGTTCTTGTATCTCATCTACTGTTTCACTAATAATTCTGATGCGTTGTCCATCATCATTTACAGGCTTTCCATCACAACTCCATTGAGCTTGCGGTTTTGGTTCGCCAGAAACTGTGCAGGTTAAAACAACGGTTTCAGTCTCACGAATGGATACATCCCGTAATGGCTGAGTAAATTCTGGTGCTTTTTGTAATTCTTCTTTTTTATCTACAGCTAATTGTGCATGGCTACTATCTTTACCAGCTTGATTGCTAATTTGAATTCCATAGTCTCCAGCGTCTTCCATACGCGCATCTTCTATAATAAGTTTAAACTCTCCACTATCTCTATATTCAACTAGCCGAACACGTTGATCTGCTGGTACTAGAGGTGTTCCATTCTTGAACCATTCAACTTCTAAGGGCATTCCTGGCCGACCACCAGCTACTCGAACACCCATTTCTACTGTTTCACCCTCACGAACTCGAGAACGTTTTAATGGTTCAATAATGCGAGGGCGTTCCAAACTAGTCTCTTGTTCAACAATTTTGGCTTCACATTGAACTTGTCCAATCTCATTTCGAGCAACTGCTCGATAAGTGCGGAAATCACCTTGCTGCATTTCTTTAATAACCATTCTCCATTGTATGTTGGTAGCATCATGTTGAATACTAACTCGAGTGCCAGTCTGAATGCGGAAATTGTCATGGGCTGAGTAAAATTCAACTGTTGGCTGTGGAATTCCCTTAACATGGCACTCTAAAACTGCTTGACCGCCCAATTGTGCCTGTAGATCGGTTAGGGGACGAGTGAATACGGGTGCCATTGCTGAAAATTTTTATATTTTATCGGGTTTTATACACAAATCTTTACTTTCAACGCGGAGATTCGCAGAAGTTTCAGCCTTTCCAATCACATTTTCAGCAGTACAAGTATAACAAGCTTCATGGACTCTCTCCACACTTTCAATTATTAAACGCTGGATGCCCTTATCGCTTTCAGTGCGCACTCCAGGCAAAGAATCCAAAGGTTTTCCATCTTGAAGCCAACCAATTTGTGGCTCGGGTAATCCAGTAACTTTGCACTGAAATTTTGAGAAATCTAAGTATTTGATACACGTTTTTTACCTCAAATGTAACCCTTTCAGTGAGAGGAACAGATTTGTCCTGCAATTTGATGCTAAAATCGGGTGGCATCTGGACAGGTTTGTCCATTGTTTCTGGAGAATAAATTAATTATATTAACCATTTTTATCATCTACTTACCAACGACAGTCAATTCAGCTTCACATTGTGCCCTCCCCGCTTCATTCTCAACAATAACTGTATATTTTCCAGCATCTTCAGGTTCTACTGCATCAATAACCAATTCAGAAGTTGTAAATCCTTCAATTGTTTGTACTTGAACTCTGATTCTAGCAATTAATTCAATCTCCATTCCATCATGTAACCATTTACAACAAACGCCTTTAGTGTCAGGCACAACACATTCAAATATTGCTTGATGTCCACGTTGAATTCTTGTATCCTTTATTTTTGTAATAAAGGCTGGTGCCATTATGGGGGTTGAAGTTCTCATGGTTTCCATCAAATCCTCTTCCAAACGTTCCTCAACTTGGGAACCGCTTTCAGATTCGGTGAACATATCGGAAGTATAGGTCTATAAGAAAGTAGGGATATTCTAGCAATAGAAGGTATTAGCTTACAGCCATATTTGCTGTACAAGATACTTCTCCAGCATCATTTTCAGCCTTACAAATAATTTCTCCAACATGCCTTTCGGGATTAAACGAACGTATAGTTAGGGTTGAAGTGTTCTCAGTTGTTGTAATAATTATCTCTTCAGTGCTACTAACAATTTCCTGATTATTAATGAACCAACTAATAGCTGGGCGAGGCTCTCCGGTATAAACGACTTTGTGTATAACCTTAAGAAAATTTAAAAATCTCCTTAAAAGAATGTGGTAGCACCTCAGATCCTTGACGTGCCCGCACATTGCTAAGCCATTCAATAAAATCAGGAGGTTCACCTCGTGGTAAAACTCTTAATGTTGCTTGTGAGGAGGCCTTTCCAAACTCATTAACAGCCTCACAAACAACGCTACCAGCATAGTCTTGTGTAATATTTCTAATTAAGACGGTGTATGTTGTTCCAATTGTTGTGATTTTACAGTTTTGGCTTTCCACTAATTTATTCCCATTAATAAACCACGAAACTTCGGGCATTGGTTCTCCGAGGAGAACAGCTTTAAGTCTAAGCGTATCACCCTCACGACAGGTTGCGTCGCATAAACCAGTCTTTAAAAGTGGTTTTTAGTTACAAATAAATTTAAAAAGCACCTCAAACTCCACGGGTACTGGAGCAACGACTACCAATTTTCCCTCAATAATAGCCTCTCCCATTTTATTGCCAGCAACACAACGAATTGTGCCAGTCATATCACGTGTACACCCATGGATCTTAAGTGTGTAAACGCCTGATTCGTGTACCATTTCTGTATCTTCTGTTTGGTAGACCATTTGATTGTTGATGTACCTATAGAGGTTAAAAAGGGGAAAATATTTTAATTATTTCCAATATTTACCCACCATTTAGTGTAAGGTGTAGGATCTCCACTTATGATCACCTTAGCATTTAGCCTGATAATTATTTAATTTTTTAAATTTTAATAAATTTAAAATACGTATCGCCTTCTGTAACTGTAATAGGACCCAGTTCAGAGAGAAATTGAGGCTTCCTTAAGGACTGACGTCTTTGAATGCCAACATTGGCGGTACACTCTATGATTAAAATTTTCTTTAAAAAATTTTCTTAACATTTACCGCATTTGCCGAATTGGTTTTCTGCTTGTATAGTGATTCGGCCTTTGTCAGCCATTTCGATCCGTAAAATTCTAAATTTTAATTAAAATATCTTTTTTCTGATCATTCAATTTTTGGCTAAACTCACGTCATTCTGTAAACCCTATGGTCAATATCTCCCTCCTCAACAAGTTTAACACGTTCACTAGACTGTAGTTCAACACCATCGCGGAACCATTTAACCGTTGGTTCGGGTCTGACACCCGAGGCTAATTGGGCTTCTAAAACCAACGTTTGTTGATCATCCATAAGACGATCCTTCAAAAATAAAAATATTTTTAATAAGATCACTAGTCTACTTCCAAATTTCGAGCAAATGTAGGAGGTACTCCAACTTCTTTAACAGCCAATTGTGAATTCTGACGCTTAGTTCCGGCAGAATTTTTTGCAATACAAGCACACTCCCCTGCTTGTTCTTTTTTAACGTTAGTGATTTCGAGAATGTGATTATTGCCTTCTTTGGTTATTCGAATATTGCTTAATATTTATCGTATTTAAAATCTTCGAATATTACTTACTCTCCATCACTCAACGGTTTTCCATTCAAAGTCCATTGCACCTCAGCTGGAGGCACAGTTTCTTCAATACGAACAATGAATTTTATATCGGCCCCTTCAGGAACTAGTTTATCATCCATATCTGTAAGAAAACGAGGCAGATCAGCCTTTGGTTGAACCAAAAGATTAGCGAAAGCTTCAGTAGCTCCATGGATATTTTCAGCAAGAACACGTATTTCACCCGTGTGTGTATCAGCGCGTGGGTGGAATATTCTAATTGAAGTTTTCCCGGTACTAGTGTCATGCCTAATTCGGAGTTGATCACTGGCAGTGAGAACTTGTCCTTTCAAAGACCTGTGGAATTTTATAATTGTTAATTTTAAAGAATGATATCAATTTACCAAGTCACAGTCGGAACAGGCTCTCCATGCACAATAGCACTAAATTTGACTGACTCTACATCATCATAAACATCATGATCCTGAGGCTGTCTACTAAAGTATGGAGGGCCAGGTACACGTGCATGCACATGGATATTAGCCTCGGATTGTACTCCATCCCCTTGTCCATCCTGAGTGGCTCTCAAAACAACTCTAGCCCCATTATGAGCAGAAATAGTTGTTCTTGGTATTCGAAGTGTATGTTCAGTTTGGTCTCCAGTTTGACGACTGGTTATTTGAATATTCTCATCTCCTCCCTCAACTGGTGTACCATTGAGGAGCCAACGAATATTTGGTGTTGGAGTGCCAATGACTGATGCGCGAAACTCGGCAGTGTCATTCTCTATTACCTTTAATAGATATTTAGATTTGGAGGTTAAGATCAAATAACCGTTATATCTGTTAAGGGCTTCCGTATTTGTACTGGCACGTTAGCTGTTGAGCCTTGACCATTCTCAACTAATATTCTAACTTGTCCATCACTCTCAGACTTTCCATTCTCATTTTCTGCCTCGACTTTTAATTGTCCATTTTGGCCTATTTGAATATTTGGAATGATAAGTCGACTACGACCAGGCGATTGTTCTATACAAATTCCTTCTTTTCCATCCTAATTAAATTTATAATTATCAAAAAATCGCTCTTTAAACCTCAAGAGGTATATTATTCTTAAACCATTTAATTGTTTGTGCATCAGACACCTCAACCTCAGCAATTAGATTATCACCGGGGCGGCATTCTAAAACAGCTCCTTCAAGTCCTTTGGTAAAAGTAGGCTTTAGGCCACCATAAAATTGAACTAAAATTGAGGGATTTTTATCTCTCATTTAGACTTCAGGTTCACCTTCCATTGGTTCTCCTTCTGTCGCCAAAACCTTCTGATCACCAACAACAATAGTAACAGGAGGGATATTCTCAACTTTAGTTATCAAACTACTAGCTTCAGATTCTTCCTCACCACCATCAAAACGGCCTTTTTTAGTCGGCGGTCCTACGGTGACACTAAATTTGGAAGAAGTGGAAGTTTCGCCCTCAGTATTAACAGCAACACACTCAATAGTGCCACCATCCTCTAAGCTGTTTTTAAGAAAAATTAAAGTTAAAATATCCCGTTTCTCAGATGCTCACCGGCATTTATTAATTTCCAAACGGCCAATCCCTCCATCAGTCTGGCTCAAAATTATTCTCCCTTCTTTATCACCATTATTCAATTCAACCCCATTCAGGCGCCAAATAAATTTATTAACCAAAGCTTCAGGATCAACACAGACCTCAAAAACGACAGAATCCCCTTCATTTTCTGTTTTATCAGTAAGTGGTTTGCGAAAGACGGGTGGTTGTTTTCGTCGTTCAGGGGGTAGAACAATTAATCTAGCTTTTGTTTCGAAACGTCCAATTGCATTCTCAGCTCTTTAATTTAGGGAATATTAGAAATTTAAAAATTGAGGACCTACCTGCACAAAATAGTGCCAGCCCAATGTGCTGAATCTAATGTTATTTTTTGTCCAGTTCCCTCTCCGGTTGATTCAATAGAAATTACTCCTTGAGTTTGAGCATCCAATTTATTGCCGTTGATGAACCAACTGAGAACAGGGAGTGGAGAACCACGGGCAATTGCTTCAAATATAGCGTGTTCACCATGTTTAACAGTCTAAAAAGAAAAGGTTAGTAGGGGGTTTTCCCAGCTAAAAACTCGCCTGATCTTCAAGTTCCTTAACAAAAGTAGGGGCACTCCTGCTTTCTTCCTCCTCAGGTTCAACAGTTAATCTGGCACGACTTTCTGCCTGTCCGTGGTCATTTTGCGCCCGGCAGAGCAACTCTCCATCGTGTGAGTCAATCTTACAATCAGGGATTGTGAGGCGATAATTGCCCTCAAGCTGTCGGATTTCTACTCCTCCAACTCCGTCAATTAATGGACGGCCCTTTAAGAAGAATTCTACTTTTGGCTGAAAAGGAAAATAATTAAAATAAAAATATTTCCGAGGAAATAACCTCAGGATACCCAACAACATCCAACTCAAACATAACAGCTCCATTCTCAGTAATCATTCTATCCTCTAAGGGACGTTCAAAGTATGGAGGGAGAGGTAGTACACGGACCCTCAGTCTTGCTTCACAACTGCTTGAACCGAGACGATTCTTTCCTTGACAAGTAACAGTCCCATCTTGGTGACGATTTACGTCTTTAACAGTTAATATACAAATGCCATCTTCGCTAATGAATTGAACCTTAAGGAAAGGTAAATGAATATTGTTCAGAAACTTTTCTCGATACCTTTTCTGATTGAGTAAGAGGAATTCCATTAATGTACCAAACCACTTCAGGGTTTGGATCACCAGTAAGAATTGCTTTAAACTTCACAGTATCCCCTTCATTACAATCTGCATCTTCGAGGACAGCCTTTAATTTATTAAGAATGAGACAGAGAATCATGATTCAAGTGAAACTGACTTGAAATTCTGGAGAAACATGGTTTCTATCTGGATCCGACTGAACCTCCAGCCGACATCGTGTTTCCGCCACACCGTAATCATTTGTAATGCGTACTGTATACGTGCCAGTATCATCTGGTTGAGCGTCCCGGATTTGTAATGTTCCTCGTTGGCCATCATACTGAATTCGAAAATCATGTGAGGGCCTTAACGGCTGTCCATCCATTAGCCAAAGAAGTTCAGGTTCAGGCCATCCACTAACTTGGCATTCAAAATCAACAACATCCCCCTCTTTACAACTCCTATCTGATGGTTCCAACATTTTAACAAAATCAGGAGATGCTGATTCTTTTTCTACTTTTAAAACTCGAAAGAAAGCTGAAGTGCTAGCTTGTCCATATTCATTAGTAGCTACACAAGTATATCTTCCAGTATCGCCAGTTTGAACTGGATCTATTGTTAAAGCGAAGAATCCGTCTTCATCGGCATAAAATGTATGGCGGTCATCTTCTCGGACCAAAACATTATCTTTGTACCTAAGAAATTATTTTTGCATATTTTTGGGGCAGTTCCTGAAACTTGCCATGTAATATCTGGCAAGGGATATCCAGTCACTTTCAGGCACATTTTAGCAGAAGATTCTTGTAATGTACGAAATCCATATTGAGTACGTGTGACTTTGGTTCCTTGCATTTCCAAAGCTGTACCTGTTGTTTGCCATTCAAGTTGGCTACTTCCCCCACTGTATAATGATGTAGATGAACCAGTTGGAGAGATGACTGGAGGTGATTTTACTTTACGGCGTGGGGGACCTTCCTCTGGACCTTTAAAATATTAGAGATTTATACAAAATTTGGGAGGATTTTATTTATTCTTACACCAAGAGGGGTCAACTAGCTCGATGCCTCCTTCTTCAGCCTCCATCAATTCAATCACGTACATGACTCGAAGAACCATTTTCGTTGTTTAGTGTTAATTAATAATGTAAATGATTATTTTAGTGTTTTAAAGGACGCTTAGCGCGTCTGGATTTAGTGGAAATTTTTTTGGATTTTTAATGTAAATGGGGCGCGGAGCCTGAAATAAGTTGTATAAAATTTTTAATTTATCCACGAAAATAAATAAAAATGTCTCTAAAACCACCCATAACTCTCTAAAACCGCCCATGATTACGTAAAATATATCCTTTATCCCACCAACGCAAACAAATCGCGTAAACAATTTACCAGTCGGGTCAGAGGGAGAGACCCCAAAAATGTACAAAAAAGAGTTGGAAATGAAGCAAATGTTAAAAACAATTGTTTAAATGTGGTAAAGAATTTCATGAAAATTCCAAGGAAAAATTTTTTAGTTTTGCAGCGGATCATTTAAAATAGCAATACGAAAAAGATCAAAGGATCTCCAATAGAAGAAGGCAATAGAAGAGAATAGAAGAGACGGAGGAGAGCCTAGAGAGCTCTTTAAGGTGATCTTATGTGTCAGTCAACGGACCAGCCTTGAAATTAAAACTTGCGGCTGTTACCAACAAATAAATAAACATTAAAGTTGGTCAATAAAAATTAGAGAAATGAAAGTATTTAATTTAAAAGCTTAGATCAAGTTTGCTAAAAAAATCGACATAAAAGTAACAATTGTTTACCAGCCGGAAGCTGTAAATGTTTAAGCACTTAAGAAATCCAGTCGATAGCTGGAAGAGAAAAGAATCGATTGGAATAAGCTTAACGAAAGCGAGCAGCTTTTCCAACATGCTTGAAAAGAATGCGTGTGGGAGAGATTAGCCGGGGAGGAAGATGAGCTGATCTTAAGCTATGCTTTTTACTTAATATATAAAAATGATAAAAGTTTTACAATTTACAATAAAATGAAAATTTACAATAATTAAACTTCAAATTAGGGCTGTTCACCACCAGAGATTAACCGGTACCTTCGGTTTTTCGGTTATATTCTGTGGTTTACGGTTCTAGTTTTCAATAGACCCCTAGTTTTCGGTTCAGTTAACCGATCGCGAACATCCCTATTACAAACTTTGAAACAAGTTTACAAACTTAGATTTACTAAAACATGTTTTGCAGACAAATGTTTTGTCTTATTTTGCCTGAAACTTATCATAACCTGTTTGTTTTAAATAAAGCTATGAACAAAACATACTCCAAAACATGCTTCAAACACATTTATTAAGTTTGTAATTTTGTTGTAAAATAAGTAAAACATTAATTTTTTGAAAATAAGTGAGGGATATAAAAATTTTTACCAACATAAAAATAATAATAAATATGCGGCTGTTGCAACATCTGTTGAAGTTTGCAGCTTTATGTTAGCTTTTTGGTTATTTTATGGAAACGAGTGTGTTAAGTTTTAATAAAAAAGAATGTTTACAAATAATAAAAATAATATAATTTTTAATATTTATTTATTATAATTTCTTATAGATTAATAATGTTTCTGTAGGAGCAAATTTTTAAGAACAATATTAGAGATCGAGCTGGGCCTGGATCAAGGCCTGGGGTTTTCCTGTACCCATAGTCCAGGCCCAGGCATTTTTTTTACCTTCCTGGGCGTTTTCCTTGGCCTGGGTTTTTCCTGGATTAAAGGCCCAGGATCCGGCTCATGTCAATAAATCAAACCCAGCGTCCAGAAACAGACCCAGGCTTTTCAAAAATCTCGATCTCTATACAATATGTATATAAAATATAGGGGAATTTTTATTTTTCTTCAAAATAATATGTACAATATAGTTTTGAATTTATATACAATAAATCTCTACATAATTGTAGTATACTCAAATTATTATTTTAATCAGCCTTTTATTAGAGAGCTAGAAGAACCCTCTTGGTATATTTACATAAATATCCTTCTCCCTCTCAAAAATCTCCTACCCACCAAAAGCCCTCTGCATTGAGCAAATATCGTTGATCCAAACACGACGTACAATCTCCGATTCCTCAGCATTATCTCGACGAATTCGAAGCAAATAAGTAGGCAAATTTTTGTTTGAATCGTTTGGTGCTACAACAAGTGTTGAAGCTTCTGTTGAGTGTTGTCTAATGGGGCTGTACTCGTTCAACTTTATGATAAAAATTTATAAAAATCAAAAAAATATTCTTGAATTTTACATTAATAGTAGTATAATGCTTAAACAATATCTCTCCAGTAGCTTCTTCCTTATCCGTAATTAGCATTGTATGATTAAGTAAAAATACATATTTATCGCCACAATCTTTATTATTTTCACCATCCTCCCAAACTTGGAATAATTCCTAAACTTCATCATGCTAAAATTATTTTGAAAATTTCCTTACATTTCTATAAACACGTCCAATATCACCCGAATATCCAACAATCTTTTTAGTAAAATCTGGCTCCTTAGCTTGTTGTTCTAATAATTGAATAAAATTTAAAGATAACTTCATCTCTTCAGTACAATTTTCATTTTTATTAATTAATTCCTTTAAATCAAGTATTAAACATAGTCCGTCAATAAATCTTTTTCACCTTAAAGAAATCTTCATAATATCTCATCCTGGTAGGGATTAACTGTAAATAATCGGCATATGGTTTTAAATTGGTTTGCTTAGATCGAATGTTTTTTAAATAAATTTAATTAAATTTAAAAATTATTTTTAACACCTCCAAAAATTTATTAATATTATCAACATGTTGGCATAATCTTAGAGCATTATCCAATTCCCTCAAGAAGGTTAGATGTATTTCTTCAATATCCTTCTTTAAAGAATCAAAATTTTTGGCAAAAATGGCTGGATCATCAGAAGATTCTTTAATTGAGTTGAGGAGTTTACTGGAATTGATAAGAGGAGTTATTAGAATCTATCGTTAATTGATGATTAGGGGTGTCGGTTCGGAACCGAATCGAACCGAAGAACTGATGATATTTCCGTTGGGCTTATTAAGAACAGGAAGAATCATTAATGTGATAATTAGGGGCGTCGGCTTGGAACAAAACCGAGCCGAAGACCGTTCGGTTCGGTTCCGGATAGACTCAGAGTTTCCGAGAACCGACACCTTATTGATGATAATTAATTAGAAAATATATTCGAGAAAAAATTTCCAAAGTCCCACCTTAAATGGAAATGATATAGCGCCTCCAAGTTTGAGACAAGCATTTCTTTACTTCTCTCTTTTACAGTTTGTGGGACCTCTGATTCTTCACCTCCTTCATTAGCTTCCAGTCCTTTACCATAATAATCCAAAGCCAATTTTAATTCTCCAATAAATTCTTCCTCGGTCTTCAACAATTTAGCTACGCTACACCCTTCTCGTTGTAATGCATAATATTTGGTAGGGGATGTAAAATAAGATCCAGGAACGAATCCGATAGAAGGAGGCTTGGTCTAAAAGTATTTTTTGTTCAAAAAATTTTTTTGTTCAAAAGATTCTTTCAATTATACCTTTGTCCTAACCAACCAAGCATCTGGATTAGCATTATCCATCACCTCAACACACTGTCCCTCATCCAAACTGAAAGGTTCGTCTTCCTCCCCCTCTTCCTCATCTCCCAGAAAATCACTCAAAGTAATCACTATCTGATAAGTACGAGGAACACTTTCCACTTTATCATTATTATCATTTTGTTTTGGATTTGAAGTTGTTGATTTAGTTAGCTCACTTTTTTCTGAAATTTTATTAGTTGGTGTTGTTCCGTTAGAAGCTGTTGTTGCCGGTTTTTTAACAATTTTCTTTTTAATTATTTTTGTTTTTGGCTTGGTAGTTTCTGAAGCTTTTTCCTCTTCCTCAGACTTTTTCAAGCTCTCCTCAGGTTTGCTACTTGCCTCAGACTTCTTCAAACTCTCATCAGTCTTGCTACTTCCACTGTTTCCATTCTCAGTCTTTTTTAAACTTTCATCAGTTTTACTGCTTGTTTTACTACTTGAACTACTTCCATTCTCACTGCTACTGATCCCATTTGTGGATGTTTTTAACGTTGTTTTAGTAACGGGGCGAATATGGGGAGAGGACTTGTATTTTTCTTCTTCAGCTCCGAAACGTCTTAAAATTATTTTTATAAATTTTATTTTAGTAAAAGCTTAAGATCAGACTAGGTGGGAGTATACGAGAGTCAAGATCGATAGCTCGAAATACTCTCTATACAAAAAATCTCAAAAAAACTAAAATTTATCTTACGAGAATCTTGTACTTTTTGGATACACCGCTACTTTGCTTGAGTATGGAGGGAGTCTCAAGCAAGGGTGCGGAGGGAGTCTAACCTAGGGAGGGAGTCCGACCCAATGGACGAATTGAGGATAACTCTGAGATTCAAATTAGGGAGAGAGGAAGGGAGAGGGGAGGGATCCAATTCAATATCCACAAAGTACCGAGAATCGTAAGAGATATCTCCAAAATCAAGATCAACCTAGATTATTGTTCGGAATCACGGTCCGCTCTTTAGTAAACCCGAATTAAAATTTAATAAAAAAATATTTTTTTACTTCAAATTTTCAACTTTTCTTTCAATCTGTCGCTGCTTACGTGAGATCTTGTCCATTATAGTAAATTCTATTCAAAATTTAAATAAATTTAATAAAAATAACGAAAAAAATATTAAAAAACAAAAAATGAGCTTTTCTAATAATTTTTCTTCATCTTTAAAGCCTTAACACATTTTTAAGCTTTAACACATTTGGGCAAAAAATAGACATAAATTGGGAACATATGGGGGTGGAACAAGGAAATAGTTGACAAATAAATTCTTAAAATAATTTTTAAAAATTTAAAATCATCAAAAATAGGAGGATCTTAAAGAGTAATTTGTCATTTACGTCAAAAGCCGACGTATGTCCTCAAATAGCCTTAGGGCATGGATCAATGTCCTCAGAGAGGGATCGCGTTAATTCTTGCTTGATGGGATTTTATTTAAAAAATTTTTATTAATCGATGCTTCCTGTTAATTTCTATTTTAATAAATTTTTAAATATATTTTTGTGTTCGTAAATGCATGTGTTTAAAAATTTTTAATTTAATCACAACAGATGTTCCATGTATTTTTGACCTCTTTTTTGATTTTTAATATAACAACTGTTGTTAACACAAGAAAAAACTAGTGTTACGAATCTTTATAATATTTAAAATTATTTAATTTAATAATTTAATTAAAAGGAATTAAATAATCTTTAGAAAAGTGCAAGCATGCCAATGTACGCTAACCCAATTGCCGCCGCATATATAACTTCTTTGAAATTATTGAATCCAGGAGCTCTGTACGGTTCAGCTCGTCAAGCAGCATGAAACCATTAATAATTTAACGTCTCGGATTAAATAATTTTGAATGAAGTTATAGTTTGGGGTACATTGGCCTTGCAGTACTTTGCCAGCTCCTGTTGGGAGGGATTTTTAGGTTTTTTTTAAATAAATTTTCCTAATGGATATTTCTTCGGCGACGTCTTCTACATCCATATCCTGTGCCTAATTTAATAGAAAATTATTAAAATTAATTTTAAAATTTTATTCTCACAGCCTGTGCAAGTAGGGCAACATCTACAACAACAAGAAGGCCGTACACAAATATTTAATCCACAACCACAGCAACAGGGGCGGCCTAAAAAAAGGATTTTTTTAATTTTTCGAGCTAATTAGAGGAGTTCAGAGAATTTTTAAAATTAATTTTAAGCAAAAACCCACAGCAACAACAACCTCCTCCACCGCCACAACAGCCGCAACAACAAGGCTGGCCTAATTAATAATTTTATTAAACACCTAAAAATAGGATAACTTACAGCAACAGCAGCACGGCTGGCAGCAACAAGAACAATTACGCCTTGCCCTTTTAATGTCAAACAAGGCAGAATTGTTGTCTACAGAACTTTGAATAGGGCAAGGATTTGTAGGGGCGCAACCAAGTTCTGGAGGGACTGGCAATATTGGTGAAAGGGCTAAAATGATTTTAGGCTATATAAAAGTCTTGTAAGATACCCAAGAGGGCTGCGGGGAGTTTTAAACTTCTCCCAGTTTGTTGAGGAGGAAAACAGGTTGATTGGCAATTTGGCAGGGCCATTAATTGTTTGCCTATATTTTGTGAAGCGATAAGAAAACCACTAGAAGGTTGGGGTGTTTGACTGAGTTGAACAATTTGAACAGGGAATCCATTGAAAAATTCAATTTTGTAAAGGAAAATGAGCAGGACTTGAATAAATTTGAATAAAAAATAGGTTAAGGACATTGTTATATGGAAAAATTTTTTCCTGAAAATTTTTTTTTGATTTTTAGGAAGGGGAGAAATTATTTAAATAATTAAAAAGTGTGTCATTAATATCGGTTGTCAACCATTTTTAAATGGAAAATTTTATTTAGAATCCCTCTTTGTGTGCTTATTAATTGTTTTAATTTCTGCGCACCAAAATTTGTTTTTGTTTATTGTTAATAGAAGAAAGAGAATTTACAAAAAAATACAAAAGTCTTTATAATAAAAAAAGTAAATTATTAGGACAATTGTTGTTTTTGTTTCTAAACATCGATAAAAAATATTTTTATTAATCCAGATATATTAGAATCACAAATTTTAAATATAAATGATGCGAATTTCTTGATTATCTCTCTAGGGAATTCCTCGGTGTTGTTTGGAAAGAATTATCAAAGAGTTAGAATAATGGAAATAATTATCAAGTGTTATGTTTTCATATGTCTTACTCGAAGTTGTCTAGTACGATAAATCCAAATCTGATTAGGATGATCACTAGCTCATTCGAAAGAGCATCGTTTACTGTATTAAAACGTATAGTTGTTCAGCTCTCTTCCAGCTCAAAGCCTACTCAAAAGTTGCTATAGATGAACTAAATAAGGGATACTAGTGTGGGCTCACTCAATGTAAAATATCCTCACTAAATTCTTAAGCAATCTGAGAATAATACATGTCACTCGAAAGATCACCATTTACTGTATCTAAAACCGTTGTGCAGAAGTACGACTTACTCATTGTCAGAAGTTGTAATGCCTAAGGTAGACAAGGGGTATTGTTTAGTGATTACCCACTCAAAATGCCACTTAAGTTCTTTGGCCCACTCAAGATTTTTGGCAACGAAAGGTGCCAGATGACATTCGAAAGAGGATTAGAAAATGTATAAAAAATCTTAGGTCATGTTGCTTTGAAATTTTCAATCGAATTTTAAAAATTTTAATTCAAAATTTTATCACAATAGGAATATTTAAATTGTACATATGTATTTTATAATTTATTTAATAATTTAAAAAATATAAAAATATTTTATTCAATTCTTTAAAAATATTTCATTGTCCTTTCATCTTCATTAAAATTGGAGGTGTTGGAAGAACATCTTCATTGTAGTCTACCATCTTCATTGTTGTAGCATTGCAACCATTGCGTCGATGGCGTTTACAACCGCAACAGTCTTAAGTAATAAAAAATTTTTTAAAAAATTTTTTTCAAAAGACTTACTGCAGCAACAACAAGGCCTGCAACAGCAGCAGCAACATGGTCTGCAACAACAGCAACAAGGCCTGCAGCAACAACAACAGCAAGGTTTGCAACAGCAACAGCAGCACGGTTTACAACAACAGCAACAACAGGGCCTCGAAAATGAATTTAAATTGAAAAGAATCTAAGTAAAAATACCTGCAGCAACAACAATCACAGCAACAACAGCGTTCCCCTCTTCCCTTCAAAGCTCCAGTTGTTGGCTTTGCGATAGCGTTGTTGGCTTAATTTAAAAAGTGATTTTGAAATTCAGGAGGATTCAAGCTCCCACCTGTACAATTTCCAATTTGTGGAGGGCAGCGCAGTTTTGATACGAAGGCCTTATTTGTATCACTTAAGGAACAATCCTTCGGACAAGGAGGACATTTTTGTAGTTTTTGTGATGAAATAACTGTGTTGATATTATGAGGAGTTGAAGGATGAGAATATGCAACTACAGGTGAAGGAGCACATTGTGAAACCGTTACAAGTTGAGAGAATAAAAAATATATGGAGAAAGTTGTATAAATAATGCTGGAGGTCACCATTGCTACAACACTCCTCTTTTACTAAATATGTATGTATTAAGGTGAAGGTTTCCGGAAAAGCTTTAAGTCCTTAGATTTGTAATTGTTCCTGAAAACTTAACTATTAATCGCAAACTTAAGTTTCCGGAAAACTTGGGGTCCGGAAACTTAATATATACCTAATTCCTGAGGTCTAAGTTTGTAATGTTTCCGGTAACTTAATTATTAGTCACAAACTTACTTTTTCGGAAAACTTAACTATTATACGCAAACCTAAGTTTCCGGAAAACTTGAGTTCTGCTTTTGTAATAGATCCGGTAACTTAATATATAATTCCTGAGGTCTAAGCTTGCAATGTTTCCGGAAACTTAATTATTCACAAACTTACTTTTCCGGAAAACTTAAGGAAAAGGTGAAGAATACGTACCACTCATAAATATAGGCAAATTATATGTCATTTGAAAGAGCTCGTCGAGAGGAGTTGAATGACACCAAAATCAACTGGCGGTCTCAACTCTGAGCTGAGATACAGGGGTTCAAAACGGTCAAAAATATCTATCAAATACTTGTAAAAATGATATTATACAAATGATAGCTCATTTGAAAGAGCTCCTCGAGCTGAGTCGAATGACGCCAAAATCAGCTCGAAATCTTAATTTTGAGACGAGATAAACAAGCTCAAAATGGTCAACATAAACCTATTGGGCGTCGGCGAGGCGCTTGTGCAAAACCCCGCGCTTCGCGCGGGGTTTTGCGGCACGCGCCTCGCGGGGAGTCTACGGGCGCTGGGTCTGGGCTCGTAACATAAACCTATTCCTATCTCCCTTGCTCTGGACGTATTTGGGGCCTCCGTGGCAGCAAAAATCTCCACAGATGACATAGGTAAGGAGCTAAAAGAAAAGATTATAACTTTGTCCAATCAAGTCGGATTTCGTTGATTTTAGTGTCATTCGACTCAGCTCGACGAGCTCTTTCGAATGAGCTATTATTTGCATATTCGAAATTTTCACTCCAAAATTGAGCTTACTCCCCCCTATGGTTTTTCGATTTTCAGGGGCCTATATCTCAGCTCAAAGTTGAGACCGCCAGTTGATTTTGATGTCATTCGACTCCTCTCGCCGAGCTCTTTCAAATGACATATAATTTGTCCATATTTGTGAGTGGTACGTATTCTTCACCTTTACCAAACTTAATATACTTGTACTATATAATACTTTAGTGTTTCCGGAAAACTTAAAATATTATTCTCACTAAAAAATAAAAAATGATTTCAAGATTTAAAAATCAAATGAGAATATAGTCCAAAATTGAGGATTTAAATGATTTATTTCAATGTTTGTTCTTTAAAACAATTACTAAATAAACGTGCAACTTGCAGAACTGGGTCGTCTTCACGTTGTTTTTGTTTCATTGTTTAAATAAAGTTTTGTTGTTATCCTTTAACAATGATGTTGTTTGTTGTTTTTGTTCTGATTTTTCATATAAATTAATTAAAAATGGCAAAAAAAATTAACAAAAATTCTCGTCATCTTCATTGTCTCTTGAAAACTTCGAGAATATATATTAATTAACAATCCCCTAAAGTTTTCTTTATTAAAATATTTTTTGTTGTTCATTGTTCTTGAATATTAACGCTAAGTAAATAAATACTTGACGAGAGAAAAATATTAAAAATAAAATGTTTTTATTTTATAATTAATTAAAGTTCCGGAAATTAAGTTTGTAATCCTTCCGGAAAACTTTTAAGCTTAAACTTGAAATGTATGTTTTCCGGAAAACTTGTATAAACTTAAGTTTAAACTTAAGTTTAAGCTCAAGGTTGAAAACTCTGAGAAACTTAACTTAAGTTTAAGCTTGAGTTTGAAATACTTTATTAACTTAAGTTCAAACTTAAACTTAGTTAAGTTAACACTAACTTAAACTTAAGTTCAAACTTGCACGCATATTATGTCTGTTTAATTTACAAACTTTAAAAATAACCAAGTTTTTAATAAAGTTTCAAGTTTGTAAAAATAAGTTTACAAACATGTCGGTATTTAAATTTAAAATTAAGCTTTAAAATAATTATTTTATTTTTTGTTGTTGTTGTTAAACAAATCAAAAAAGGGCGAACCTGCATATCGATGTTTTGCGATAACATAAAAACACCGATGTGCAAACGATTCGTCCTTTGTTTGACTGTTGCAAGATTTTTTTTTCAAAAATTTTAATTTAAAAATTTAATAAAAAATATAAAATTTTTTCCTCTCAGTTTAAAAATAATTTTAAAAATAAATAATAATTGTTAAAAGGCAATAAATTCATCTTTAAGATTTTTCTTCTTTAATATTTTGATCTTTGCGCAGCTGTCATTTAAATAATAAAGACATACTCATTTTTAAAAATTAATGTAAAATGGAGAAAATATTAGAAAAAATAATTTATAATTTTAATTATTCATATTTTCCTACATTTTTTGATTTTTTATGTTCATTCTAAAAAAAATAAAATACCTAATCTAAAGCTATTTATGCAAATTTTAACTGAATAGGAGGGTAAAGGTGTTAGGGGAAGGTGAATAATAATGCTAGGGATTTTTAAGAAGCTGTCTAGAAAATTGGAATTTAAGAGAAATTTTTTGTAAAATTTTTTTTGTAAAATTTAAACCTTAAAAAAGGGGACTAATAAATAGTTAATATGAAGGGGCTACTAGACTGGCTGCTAAAAAAATTTTTTTAAGAAGAAAAAAAGGAGGAAGAGGACAACAACAACCATTTTATATATAAAATATACTAATACACACATTAATTTCGAAATGATTCCAAAATGGTTTTATTGTCAAAAGGAAAGAAAAATGTGCAATTTGGGGTGCGCGGGATATGAGGCATTTGAACTGAAGGAAAAAATTTTTTGGAAAGAAAATTGGAGGACGCTTTTAAGAGGAAAGTAGGGGGGAAGGAGAGGATTTTGGAGTGAATGAGAGAAAAACGGAACGTTTTTGAAGAGGGGAAATGATCTTTCTTTTTTTATTCTTTTTGACCCTCTCCATTTTTTTTATTTGAAAGAAGCAAACCAACACCTTTTAAAAATTTTTTTTGAAAAGAGTAATGGCCGTTGTTTTTGTTTTGTTGTTTTTGGTGTTCAATTGAAGGGAGGAATTTGAAAAATAAAAAAATTTTTGAGAGAAATAACTCCAACTGGTTCGCTGTTTAAAATTGAGAGGTGGAGGGTGGAAGAATTTCAGGCCTAGTGCAGTTTCCCTCCCACTCCCTCCTCTCCCACATAAAAGCTCTATTCTCTAGTTCAATAGGTCCACTTTATTCCCAAACCCCATCAAAGCTATGGCTACACATGCACAATCCCGGACTTAGGTTCTAACGCACATAACTAGGTCCTTATCGCTATAGCACAAGAACTGAATTTCGAAGTTAAAATTTTGGGCTTTAATTACCCTCGAGAATTTTTTTTTGAATTTTTTTCCGATTTTTGGATATGCGAGAGATGATTTTCTAATAAAATAAGATACTAACTAGATACATAAATAGCATAAATGTATAAAATAAAAAGGGCATAAACCAAAAAAGAGAGAAAAGGGGGTAAATAACAACATTTAGAACAACGAAACAACAAAAAGTGTCAATTTTATTCTCAACTAGAGGAATGACCAAATGATTGATGTTGGGAGGATATATCTGTTCTTGTCTCTTTTTTTAGTCTCTCGTGGGGGTTTTTTAATGTTTTGTTGTTGTCGCTAAAAATGTGAGAAGAACGCGCAAGGAAAGGTTAATGCTCTCTTGTTGTCTCAGAAATTTTATGCTATGTATATCTCTTTCAAGGGCCGGATTTATGGGGAAGAATATTATTAGAAAGATTAATCTTGAAAGGTTATTAATTCTCAATAAACTTGAAACTTGAGCGTTGTTTATAGGATAAGAAGCAGTCTTACCTTCATATTAATATCCAATTTACTCACCAAAAATCAAGGACATTTAAAATCAACCTCAACCGAAATTCCAAAAACAAAACACTCATTTTATTTTTATTAAAAAATTTTTTCAATAAAATTTTATACAAATATTTTACAAATTATATCAACAAAAAATAATTGAAACCTAATAGTTTTTAAAATTCTTATATTATTTTAAAAGAATTATTACTTAAACAAGAATTGGATAGGGCTAGGATACACCAATTTAAATTCAAACTATTAAACAAAAATTGTTAGTATATGTATATTTACGAATCTTAAATCTCTGAAGAAAAAATTGGAAAATAATATACATACAGCATATAAAAGAGATCGGAACGAGACAAGATCTCGATCAGAAAGCATGGTTTTTTCGAGATATCTCGAACGATTCTCGTACAACCTCCAAGTCCAATCTCTAGTATATACTCTATTAATTACTCTTTAAATAATTAATTAATTAGCAAGACGTTGATGAAAGTATCAATTATTATCCAGGTTAATTAATAGAGTGAATTAGTAATTAAAAAATACATCGGAAAATATTACTAAACCCCCAAAAAGAATTATAACATTAATTTATTTTTAAAAAATTATTTTCACACGAATATAATTTTATTTGGATTGTTGGTGAACCACTTGAAGGCGTTTAACCGGAGCAACAATAGGGAAAGAAGTAGCGCGATTTTGAGAAGCACAAGAAGCAGCTGTAGGTAACGGCAATCTTTGATGATAAAATTCTTCGGCTTTAAAGTGCTTGGAATAGCAATAATAATGCCAAACTAAGCTTTGACCCATCCAGTGAATACATAAAAGCAAGAGGAGGGCTAATTCTAATTGACGAATTTCTGAGTTTGTTAAATTGTAGTAGGAAAGAGTTGAAGAAAATTGGGGGTATTCTTCTTTCTTGATAAAGCCATTGAACAATTGTGGTCGGATATCTAATAATAAAACTGTACAGAAGAAGATGGCCAGAGCGATAATTGTGACACCCTTAAAAGGAAAATGAATGTTAGTATTGATATATATTTTTGATTAAATTTTTGGAATTGGATGGGTTCTAAACTAAAGTTCCTAATGTTCCTCAACAAAGGTATGCCGAAATTAGCTTTAAAAAGCGAAGGACGAACTGCAAAACTCCGATCTTAGTTTTGTGATCGAAATGCGAATCCAAAAAACCCGAAAATCGGTGAGGTTAAACCTTATGTCAAGGGTCTTGATCTTGAGTTCCAGTTTTATGTAGTCATTTATCTAACCTCTGAAGGGTCCATTTTAATTTTTAAATGATTATTAAATAAAATTGATTACGTTAATCACAAGGTAGATCAAACAATAAGAAGGCTTCCCAGCCAAATTTGAATAAAAAAGTGCCAAAGCTGCAAATATGTGAAAGAGTGCAGGAGTGCCAAAACTCCAAAATTGATCAAAAGATAAAGATATAATAAACAAAAACATATTTATTAACAAAAGTCCAAAAGCAAAACTAAGTGCAAAACGCTTAAAAAATTTTTTTTGAATTTTTTTAAATTTTTTAAACCTCCGTTCGTACAGTGAAACAGCCAAGGGAATAAAGCTTTAAAATTGTTTATAAAAATAATTATCGAAAATAAACTTAAGTTTGTAAAATTAACCTCATAATATTTAAATTGTGCCATTGTATCAGATAATTTCACTTGGGAATTATTTGTTTGTAGCCTTTAAAAATATCTTAGATTGTAAAATTTTAATTAAGTTTTACAATCTAACTTTTCGTAAATTAATTGAGTTTACAATTTAATAACTTTACAACTTAAGTTTACAATTTCCGGAAGGATATCACTTAAGTTTCCGAAAAATAATATACCTTCCGGAAAATATAAATTTGTAATTTCTGAAGAGATTCAAGTTTGCAATTTACGGAAGGTATATCAAGTTTATTAAATATGTAGTTTCCGGAAAATAAATAAGTTTAGAAGTTAAGCGCAAGTTTACAAGTTCCAGTAGGAAAACTTAAGTTTACAATTTCTTAAGTATCCGGAAAATAAGACACCTTCCGGAAATTTCAAGTTTGTAATTTTCGAATAAATTCAAGTTTACAATTTCCTGAAGGAATATTAAGTTTATTAAATTACAAATTAATTCAAGTTTATATTAAAATTGTAAACTTGAAAAAGGTTTGAACTTTAAAAGTAAAACTTAACAAAAAGTAAAAATACAATTTAAAGTATAAACTTGAAATTACGAGAAATATAATAAAATTAAGCCTAGACACACACACCTACATATTTCAACGTCCTTTTGCTTCCACGTACGCGCCGTCCGTTCCTGCTTTTCCCTCCCTCAAAAAATATAATAAAATAATATAAATTAATATGAGAAACAATTATATTTTATTTCGAAGGCTTTTTTCCTTTCCGGCTTTATGTAAAGACTTGAAGGGAGCGCTTAAAAATTTTCTGTTGAATCACACAGCTATGTAAACCTTAAAAGGGAGGGAAAAGCAAGAACGTTATTTAATGAGGAAAATGGCTTGAAAAAGAGGATGATGAATTGAATTTTTTGATGGATTTTGGGATAAAATATTTATATAATTATTTTTATCATAAATATTATTTAATCAAAATATTATTGATAATAATAAACACTTTAAATAAATATTTTCTGGAATGAAAAGTATTTCGCTATGGAACAACTCTGGCGGATCCTTGGAAATCTCAAAATATCCATCCGCAATCCGGATCAAAATTTAACTTTTCCGAAATTTTGGATTCCCGAAATTTATTCGGATTCGGATACCTTAATCAGCAAACCCTTTTAAGGAAACTCCCTAAAATATCATTATAAGCGAGGTGTGCTGGAATCACTTTAAAAATAGAAACTGGCACCCTTCAAACTCTTGAAATTATTGCTTATCTACCGTTGTTAATAATAAAATGGCACTACTAAAAATAAACTTTCAAGCTATATTAAATCTTGAATCATGCTCTAAGACGATCTCATTGTTTCGTATATGTGCCCCTTTCTTGAACTTATAAGATTAAAGAGGTACTCTAACTGATCCCAAAATTAAGCAAAATTACTTATTAAAATATAAAAGTTCAAATTTAAATTTTATTTTGTGTCAATTTAAACATATATACAGATATATATAAAAATTAAATATATAAAAATTAAAAGGTTTTTAACATTATAAAATGAATAAATTCAAACAAGAAAAACGTAGGTATATAAACATTAATATAGTTGACTCATTGCACTTTAAATTTTTTTAAATCATGAATGAATGAATCCCCCTCGTTATAAAAATTATTTTATAAAGTGCTTTAAATTATAAAATAATTTTCTACAAAATTTATAAAAATTAAAAAAAATTTTATAATATTTATAGGTGTATTCATTTAATTTTGCATGTTTTTAGTGTAGTTTTTTGACCATAACTTTTTGTCCTTACAATTAGAATTTTTTTAATTTGGCATTTTTATAGCTAATTTAATACTCTATCGAATGATATTAAATTTACTTAAAAATGTCCAAGGATTCGAGAGTTATCAAATAAAAACTAAGGTGTGTTCATGAGTCAACCATGTTGAACATGAGTAAATCAAATTAATTTTAAATTAAAAAAAAAGATCAGAACTTTGGATAAATAATTAAAATATTAAAAAAGTATTCAAAAAATTAAATAAAAAAAAATATTTAAAAAAATATTCCCCTAAACATGATATCCCCCTCCTCCACCTCCATGTTGCCGTTCTCTCAATAATCTTTCCCTTAGCATAAAACTTGAAGCATTATATACCACCAATTCAAACCAAATATTTAAAACTTGAATAACCAGCATTATACAAGCTATAATCCCTGTGACTACTCGAGGGTATTCTGAATTTTTTTTTAAAAATTTTAAAAAATTTTCGTCAAGCTTACGATGTGTAGTTTCATGAAATTTATAGTCGGTCAATTCGTTAACTTGTCTTTCCCAAAATTCTGGGTTTACTAAAAGCATTGTGAACAATACCAAAATGTAAATGGATCCAATACCTACTGCAATACCCTATTAATTTGAATAACTTTAGAATACTTAATTCAAAGCTTGTTAGCTATCTACTTGTTAACTATCTGTATTATTCCCTCCCAAAGGCATGGATTTACCTTTTATAAATAAGCACACAAATTATCTCTCACTTTTGATTTATATCTGTTAAGGTGTAGGTTTACGTGCTGGAATTCAAGTTGAAGATTAAGGAAAGTCGGGTTTCTGGGTCGTGGTTTTCAAATTTCCTTTGGATCGGGATTCAGGTTAAAACAAAGCCCAGATATCGAGAATTGGTTAGCCCAACCTATCCCTCGTTGATGGAACCCCTCTCCGAAGCTCATCTTCTAATTGGGAAAAAAAGGAAGACTTCTTCGGACGGCCCTCCCTGAAATTCTTATTCGAATTAAAAAAGGGAAGGCTGGAAGATTGAAGGAAGAGATTCAGAAACTTGTAAATTGCTTAGTTCCAAAATTAAAAAATTACAAACATTAGTGATTAAAAAGGGCCAATAAATCTTTGCATTCCGGCTGTAAAAAGCATAAAAAATAGATGCATATGCAAAACAAAAAATTACAGGCAAAACAATTAAACCCCAACGGCCATATAATAAACAAATAATAAAAAAACAAAGGGAGAGAAAAACACCAATTCCTCCAATAATATTTGCGCCCATCTAAAATTTTTTTTAAATTATTTTGAATTTAATTTTAATTCTAACCGCCACATGAATAGCACAACAACAACGATTTCTGGGGTCCTCGTAAAGCATAATAGGTGCTATACCGTTTTTACGATTTATTGTTGACACTGGTATTTTTTAGTATAATTTAATCTTAAAATTTTATTTAAAAAATTATTTTTTAATTAAAAAAACAATAAACAAATAATAAAAAAACAAAAAAAAGAAAAATAATTAAATAAAAAATATAATATTAAGTAAAAATTGGGTATATAAAAATAGAAAAATGATTATAAAAAAAAATTTTTTCCAATTTTTCTCAAAAGGGCTATAAAATGACAGCAACTTGAGAAAATTAAAATAAAATTATAAAGAAAATGCTTTAACGTTTTTAAAACTTTTTGAGAGAAACTAAAAATAAACTTATGCTCCAGCAACTACATATGTGTAGTTGGTTTTTCAATCATAACTTTTTGAATTTTTAATCAAATTTTTTCATTTATCGTTTGTTTTGTAGCTAATTAAATTCTCTATCCAAAAATTTTGAAATTATCTTTAAAACTTTATTAGTTCAAAAGATATGAATTTTATAAGGAAGCTGGTTCTGCTACCCATTTGTCGATTTTTATAAAATGTACCATTTAAATTGTCGCCGAGGGAATAAGCAAAATATTAGTAGGATAAAAAAAGAATAACAATAATAAATATAAAATAAACTTACTAGAAAGAGAAGGATATTTTTTCAAGCATTTTATTTATTTTTTACGGGTCGTCTGACAGCAAAAAGCAAGTAAACAGGGACAAAAAAGGAGATGACACGAGTTAAAAAGGGAGGAAAAACAAATAATATCGAGAATAAATAAAAGAAAATTTTAATAGAATTAAATTTCTTAAAATTAATTAGTTTAAAAATAAATGAGGCAAATTAAAGAGGCAAATTGTGGAGAATGAGAGAATACCGTAATCTTTGAAGGAAGAGAGGAATTAATTAGAACTTTGAGAAAAAATCTAGTGTTGGCTTAGTAGCTTAGTGGGTAAAGTGCGGGCAAAAATTTTTTATGTCGTGGGTTCGAACCCCGGCTGGGTTCTTAGTTGTTTTTGGCCTTTTTAAAATAAAATCTCGACATTTAGAGTCATTTAAAAGCATAACTTGATAAAAATAAATTTTTTGGAAGGTAAGCAATGACCTAGAATGTTATAAATTGACTAGAATAGTACATAAATGTATGCACGGAATAAAACCTCCTAGCATTTATTTTTTGTGGACGTTGGCTGTCTTTAGTAATATTCCCTAGTAGTAAAGCACTCAATGGCCGCTTCTTCTCAAGAATGGAAGAGAATAAATATTTTATTTAGAAAATATAAAAATGTTCCAAAGGCATGGGGCAAAATTTCTCTAACATTTAAGGAGTAAATAAGCGAATTTAAACTTTTAAAGTTTCAAAATTTAAAAAGAATGAGTTGGCTTGTGATAAAACTTTTTGGGAGAACATTAAAAAAAACTCCTATTTGGCTACTAAATATATTTTTTGGCCAATTTTTAAAAGAGAAATTTTAAAAAAGAGAAAAATGGACAAATGCGTCAGCTGTTGAAAAATGCTTTATACTAAAAGAGCCAGGAAAAAAACGTTTGGATGTGAGATAAGGATAGAGAGAGGAAGATAAATTTTTTTGGGAGGATAAGAAAAAATATGAAGGAAAAAATAAATGGAAGTAAGGAAATGGAAAAATGGTGAAAAAATAAAGTGAATAGAGAACATGATTGAGAGTCCCAGACTAGGGTTGGATTAAAGCCCATAATTCATTTAAAAGGCCATATTTTCTAAAAGTTTTTGATTTTATTTGATAGAGAATTAAATTTTTTATAAAATTATTGAGGAAATAAAATTTTAGAAGAATAAACAGGAAGGAAATAATTAATAAATTAATTAAGGGATTAAAGTTTAGTGAGATAATGAGTTTAGTTTTTTGGCCTTAACTTCTTTTTTCGTAAATAAATTTTTTTTCTTTTTTCAAGGTTTTGTAGCAAATTTAATTCTCTATCAAACAAAGCAAAAATTACGTCAAAAGGTTAACCCAACCATGAGTTATGATTGAAAGACTCAAGTGTGTTTCTAGTCTTGGGCAGCTTCTTAAGGGAAGACTAGGCTCTATTAAGAGAGTATTGGGGTAAAATAAAAATAAGCGTAAAAAGACTTGGCCAATGCTGTCGTAATGCTTTTGTTATGTTTTTATAAAAATAAAAAATACCCTAAAGATGTTAGAAAAACGAACACAGGCTAAGGGCATTTTAAATTTAATTTTAAGAAATTAAGTTTTTAATAAATTTGGACCATTTTTGTAAAGCATATAGCTATTAATTTCCTAAGGCTGAGCAGTAGGCGGCGTGGTGTAATGGCTAACACATCAGTCCGGTCTACTGAAGATGCTGGTTCGCTCCCAGCCGTCGAATAACCTTTTGCACTAGCTGAAGGAGAGAAATAGCTATAGCCCAGCTGCTTTACTTTTTTATTATATGTACTGTATTTGAACTTTAAAAAATTCTCTCCATTGTTTCATTTCCGTTAAATTATTTAAATCCTTGCTCTAATGATTCTTTGCTTTTTTATTGTTAAAAGATTAAAAATAATATTTTTATTCACCTTATCATACCATATAAGGCATATTAACACAAGCACACTCATAACAGCTCACCACGTGTATTTCTTATTCATCCCCCCCCTACAAAGTCAAAAGTTTATATTTTATTTATTATTTACCTTTATTTATGTATCATTATTTATTATTTATTTTGTGTTCTTTGAATTTAAAATTTTAAATTTTTTAAATCAGCTTTATCTGGATAAAATCGGATAAAGTCCCCCATGTAGCTTTTAGGTCAATTTAACTGTCCCGTTTTTCATTTAGATTAACCAGAAGCCTTTTATTCCAGACTTGGTAATGGACATGGACTTTGGCATCCGGCAGGGATCCTGCCGTCCCGATTCCCGAAAATCGGGAATTCCCGACGATTTTTTGGGTCGGAATCCCGATTTTCCGAAATTGGAAATTTTGGTTTTTTGTCGACAGGATCCCTGGTATCCGGATATTTACGGCGGATAAAGGCGGATATCCGCAGGCATTCTGAAATTATCTGTATCCATATCATAATCCATTGCCATTCACTGTAGAAGCATTATTAAAATTTACATGACCCAGACTCAACTGGTCCTCACAAAAATAGATGAGTTGTAAAATTGATTAGAGAAACTAACTTTCCTTCCCACTCTCTCTCATTCTTATAACTTCTGTTATTTAATGCTAGTATGCCGTAATATATTTCAAAAGCTGCTGTAATATTGAAAAAGCACAGTCATTTTCGCGTAGCTATATCCCCCTTTTTCCTTCAAAAAATTTATTTTATTTAGTGTGCCTTATTTTGAAAATTTATATGTAGATGGTGTCTGCCTTTTCATTTTTACTATATTTTTATACAAACTCAGCTTCTTTTTTTATCAATATTCACCAGAAAAAAAAATTTCTTCAACAAAAAACCCAATAAATAAAACCTTGAAACAAGCCAAAATTTTTGTTCTTTATTATTGACAGACGGGCTGTTTGAGTCTGGAGATTTTTTAAATTTTTCTTTTCTTTGTCATTTTTGGTCATTTTTGATTATTACTAGAGAGCGGACTGAGAGTGTCGCATGAGAACCGTACAAGATATCTCGAAAAATCTCCATCTCGACCATCGAGATTTTCTTCGAGATTTGGTCTTAATCCTGTCTCTAGTCTTAGATAGGGTTGTCGGTTCTTAGAAAATCTTCGGACGGAACTGAACCGAAAAATCTCGATTCTTCGGTTCCGGACCGACAACCCTAATCTTATACTTATTTTTAATTTCTTTTAAATATTCTTCTTCCTTTTCATTTTTAGTTATTTTTCATCACATTATTACCCTTTTATTTATCACATGCTACCAATTAATTAGTTAATTAATTAGTTAATTTTATTACCCTTAACTTTTCCTTCCTTTTTTTAATTTAATTAATCTAGCAGAATTTTTTAATTAATAAAAATAAAATTAAAAAAAAATTATTTTTCCAAAAATTGACTAAAAATCGTAAATCGATTTTATTATTTACCCATTCATCAGCAAAAAAAACTTTTTTTTGAAAATTTTATTTTGTTAAGGCAATAAATAAACATTAAAAAAGACAACAGAAAGAGTCGGGGGGGGGATTATCTCTCTCTCCCCACATAATTTTTTTTCTCATTTTTCAATCCATTCTCTCTCCCTTTTTTCAATTCTTTTGTCACATTTTTCTCTGCTTTTAATTTAAACATCCTTGACATTTGACTATCCAACTATGCTTTTCCCATCATTTTTTTTTCATTTTTGTTTTTAAATGTTTAGATTAATAAAGGAGATTATTTGATGAAGTTATCAAAAAATTAAACAACAAATTCTCATTATTTTTTACAATGGATCTTCGTGTTTGTTAACGTGTCACGTTTATTTTTAAGCTCGATCTAGCCATATCTCTTCCTATATTTTAGAGACTTCCAAGACTCTTGGTCTTGACTCATGACTTTTCTTGGGTTTTTTTCGGTCTTGTTCCTTGGTCTTGGGATGAAGTCTTGGGTCTTGGTCTTGGGTCTTTTCATGGTCTTGAGTCTTGGAAAATTTTCGGTCTTGTAAGTCCCTACTATATTTACATAAAATCCTCAAGTTTGTATTACTCACATGTCACGTTGTTAGGACAATAATTAAACATTAGGAAGGATACCACTTCAAAATCTCTCAGTATATCTCTTCCAATATTTACATAAATATTGCTGAAGACATTCTATGCCATTTTTCTTAAAATATTGAAATTTAGTCGGAATATTCATTCAATTTTTTAACAACAATTTATTTCAAGATTTCAGTTAAATCGAAACGGGTTTAAAAATAAACCACTTTTTAAATGTCTAAAGCCACTTGATAATTTTTAGTAAGCTTTTCCTTAAACTTAAGTTTTAAGTTCGTAAATAATTAATAAAAACTAAAACTTTTAATGTTTAATTAAATTACAAAGTTTGCGCACTTAAACTTAAGTTCAATCTCTT